TTTTTGTATTTTTGTATTTATTTATTTATTTTGAGATGGAGTTTTGCTCTTGTTGCCCAAGTTGGAGTGCAATAGTGCGATCTCAGCTCACTGCAACCTTCAACTTCTGAGTTCAGGCTCTCTGCCTCAGCCTCCTGAGTAGCTAGGCGCACGCCACCATGCCCAGCTAATTTTGTGTATTTTTAGTAGAAACGGGGTTTCACCATGTTAGCCAGGCTGGTCTCGATCTCCTGACCTCAGGTGATCCACCCGCCTCGGCCTCCCAAAGTGCTGGGATTACAGGCATGAGCCACTGTGCCTGGTCTGGTATTGCCTTTTCTTAGGGATGTTGAAATACATGTGGCTGTGATAACTGGAGAAAAGGAACAAAGTACACATTGGGTGCCCAGGGTTTACTTCTGGGCCTGCTTCTAGTCTCTCTCTACATGCTGTACCTAAGCAACCAGTCCCATGGGTCTAAGCGATGACTCCTAAACCTACATTTCCAGCTCTGGCCTGGCCTGGAAATCCAGTCTATACATCCACCTGCCTGCTTATCAACCCACTGGATGCCGCACAAGGATCTCAAATCAACATGTCCAAAACAAAGCTACTGATTTCTACCTATCAGCACCACCTAACCCAGCAGTCCCCAACCGTTTTGGCAACAGGGAGCAGGAAGATAATTTTTCCACTAACCGGCGGGTGGGGGTTGGGGGGATGATTTCTGGGATGATTTGAGCACATTAAGTTTATTGTGCACTTTTTTTTTTTTTTTTTTTTTTTTTTGAGACAGAATCTTACTCTGTCGCCCAGGCTGGAGTGCAGTGGCTGGATCTCAGCTCACTGCAAGCTCCGCCTCCCGGGTTTACGCCATTCTCCTGCCTCAGCCTCCCGAGTAGCTGGGACTACAGGCACCCGCCACCTTGCCTGGCTAGTTTTTTGTATTTTTTAGTAGAGACGGGGTTTCACCGTGTTCGCCAGGATGGTCTCGATCTCTTGACCTCGTGATCCACCCGTCTCGGCCTCCTAAAGTGCTGGGATTACAGGCTTGAGCCACCGCGCCCAGCCTGTGCACTTTATTTCTATTATTATTATATTGTAATGTATAACGAAATAATTATACAACTCACCATCATGTAGATTTAGTGGGAGCCCTGAGCTTGTTTTCCCGCAACTAGATGGTCCCATCTGGGGGTGATGGGAGACAGTGACAGGTCATCAAGCGTTAGATTCTCATAAGGAGTGCATGACCTAGATCCCTGGCATGCGCAGTTCACAATAGGGTTTGTGCTCCTATGAGAATCTAATGCTGTTGCTGATCTGACAGGAGGCAGAACTCAGGCAGTAATGAGAGCAATGGGTAGTGTGGCTGTAAATACAGATGAAGCTTTGCTCATTCGCCCACCACTTACTTCCTGCTGCGTGGCCTGGTTCCTAACAGGCCCCAGACAGGTACTGGTCCATGGCCCAGGGGTTGGGGACCTCTGCCCTAACCTACTCCTCCTTCAGTCTCCCCTTTTCCTTTCCTTTCCTTTTTTCTTTCTTTTTTTTTGGGGGGGGGGGGCGGGCGCAGAGTCTCATTCTGTCACCCAGGCTGGAGTGCAATGGCACAATCTCAGCTTACTGCAACCTCCACCCCCCAGGTTCAAGCAATTCTCCTGACTCAGCCTCCCAAGTAGCTGGGATTACAGGTGCCCGCCACCACGCCTGGCTAGTTTTTGTATTTTTAGTAGATACAGGGTTTCACTGTGTTGGCCAGGCTTTTCTCGAACTCCTGACCTCGTGATCTGCTTGCCTCAGCCTCCCAAAATGCTGGGATTACAGGCGTGAGCCACTGCACCAGGCCCATTTTAATTTAATTTAAACTTAAGTAGCCACATATGATTAGTGGCTGCGTATTGAAGAGAGTAGCTCTAGATTTTTGCTTTGGGCAACTAGGTGGCTCATGGTGCCATTAATTGAAAAAGTGGGCTGGGTGTGGTGGCTCACGCCTGTAATCCCAGCAATTTGGGAGGTCAAAGCAGGCAGACCACCTGAGGTCAGGAGTTCGAGACCAGCCTGGCCAACAAGCTAAAAATACAAAAAATTAGCTGGGCGTGGTCGCATGCATCTGTAGTCCCAGATACTCGGGAGGCTGAGGTGGGAGGATCACTTGAGCACCAGGAAGTGGAGGTTGCAGTGAGCCAAGATTGTGCCACTGTACTCCAGCCTGGGTGATAGAGTAAGACCCTGTCTCAGAAAGAAAAAAAAAAGAGAGAGAGAGAGAGAGCAGACTGCCAGCCACCAGCTTGGACAACATAGTGAGACCCCTTCTCTACAAAAAAATTAGCCAGGCATGGTGGTGTGTGCTTGTAGTCTGAGCTACTCTGGAGACTTAGGTGGGAGGATTACTTGAGCGGGGGAGGTTGAGGCTACAGTGAGCTATGACTGTGCTACTGCCCTCCAACCTGGGCAGCAAAGCAAGACCTTGTCTCAAAAAAAAAAAAAAAAAAAAAAGAGGCTGGGCACGGTGACTCACATCTGTAATCCCAGCACTTTGGGAGGCCAAGGCGGGTGGATCACTTGAGGTCAGGACTTCAAGACCAGCCTGGCCAACATGGTGAAACCTCATCTCTACTAAAAATACAAAAATTAGCTGGACATGGTGGCATGCGCCTGTAATCCCAACTACTTGGGAGGCTGAGGCAGGAGAATCGCTTGAACCTTGGAGGTGGAGGCTGAGGTGGGTGGATCACTTGAGCCCAGGAGGTCCAGACCAGCCTGGGCAATATAGTGAGACCCAGTCTCTACAAAAAATTTTGAAAAATTCGCCAGGCATGGTGGCACACAGCTGTAGTCCCAGCTACTTGGGAGGCTGAGGTGGGAGGATCACTTGAGTCCAGAAGGTTGAGGCTGCAGTGAGCCATGATTGTTTCACTGAACTCCATCCTGGGCGATAAAGCGAGACCCTGTCTCAAAAAAAAAAAAAAAAAAAAAGGTGACTGTCAGGCCTCTGAGCCCAAGTCAAGCCATTGCATCCTCTGTGACTTGCAGGTATAGGCCCAGATGGCCTGAAGTAACCGAAGAATCACAAAGAAGTGAAAATGTGCTGCCCTGCCTTAACTGATGACATTCCACCACAAAAGAAGTGAAAATGGCCGGTCCTTGCCTTAAGTGATGACACTACCTTGTGAAAGTCCTTTTCCTAGCTCATCCTGGCTCAAAAAGCTCCCCCACTGAGCACCTTGTGACCCCCACTCCTGCCCGTCAGAGAACAATCCCCCTTTGACTGTAATTTTCCTTTACCTACCCAAATCCTATAAAACGGCCCTACCCTTATCTCCCTTCGCTGACTCTCTTTTCGGACTCAGCCTGCCTGCACCCAGGTGATTAAAAGCTTTGTTGCTCACACAAAGCCTGTTTGGTGGTCTCTTCACACGGACGGACCTGCGTGACAGTGACCAACCCAATCTAAAGTACCCAACAAGTCACCAGGCATTGTGGCTCATGCCTGTAATCCCAGCACTTTGGGAGGCCAAGGTGGGAGGCTCACTTGAGGCCAGGAGTTTGAGACCACCCTGGCCAACATGGTGAAACCCTGTCTCCACTAAAAATACAAAAACTGGCTGCGCGCGGTGGCTCAGGCCTGTAATCCCAGCACTTTGGGAGACTGAGACGGGCAGATCACGAGGTCAGGAGATCGAGACGATCCTGGCTAACACGGTGAAACTCCGTCTCTACTAAAAATACAAAAAAATTAGCTGGGTATGGTGGCGGGTGCCTGTAGTCCCAGCTACTCGGGAGTCTGAGGCAGGAGAATGGCGTGAACCCTGGAGGCAAAGCTTACAGTGAGCCGAGATCGCGCCACTGCACTCCAGCCTGGGCGAGAGTGAGATTCTGCCTCAAAAAAGGAAAAATAACAATAATAATAATACAAAAAGTATCCGGGGGTGGTGGCAGCTGCCTGTAATCTCAGCTACTCGGGAGACTGAGGCATGAGAATTGCTTAAACCCAGGAAGCAGAGGTTGCAGTGAGCCGAGATCGTGCCACTGAACTCCTGCCTGGGCAATAGAGTGAGACTCCATCTCAAAAAGATAAAGTTAAATTAAAAAATTTTAAAAGTACCCAAAAAGTCTTTTCCAAGACCTGATTTTAACTCTCTCCATAGGATTTATCACTAACTGGTGATTCTTTAATTTGTGCATTGTTTGCTTCCCCCTACTAGAATGTAAGCTCTACAAGAATATTTTGTTTGATTGCTTCGCTGCCATATTCTATTCCCAGTGTCTAGAATGTGCCTGAAACCTAGCAGACACTCAGTGTTGGTTAAATGAATAATCGAATACTAGTCCACCTACTAGGAGGGTTAAAGGCAGGGTTTCTAAAGTTGAAGACCCAGAATGGAATCCTGGGCCACATACGCAAGTTGGCGAACCTAAGGGTGTAAAATGGGGATTCCACCTCTGTGATAGGCGGAGCGAATGAAATGACAGTTATAAAGCACTCCCTTAACTCCGTGGCTCAGGAATTAGAGCACTGGCCTAGTAAAGCATTCTTGCTCCCTCTCCCTCTCTCCCTTAAGCGCTCTCTTCTTTCCCCCCTCCTGCTCAGCCCCTCACATGACCACTTCTCTTCGGCTTTGCATGACACTCTAGAGTCTAGAATAAGCCTTTGAAATTTGCCGGGAATTAACGTCATCAGTCGGGAGGCCCACAGCTACGCACGCGCGGAGCACCGCCCCTGTCTCGCGCGCTAACTTTGCAGCTCCGCCAGCCAATCAGAGTTAGCTCAGAGAACGAGTGCCGAGGACTCACCAATTGGAACTAGGAGGCGGGCCGCGGTGGAGGCAGTGGCGAGAGGGGGCGGGGACAAGGAGAGGGCACGCACAGTTCTTGCTGCCGGGGTCTATGCCGGCCAATAGGAGAGGCCTAGGGGCTGAAGGCGGTGGGGCGTGGCATTGGCGGCTCCAGCAACGGGAGGCCGTCCCAGGGTGGGCCAATCGGAATAAGGAGGTGGGAGAAACCTAGCCAATTAGCGTGCAGGACGGGCAAGGAGGGTGGGGGGCGGCGGAGTCTCCTGCGGACACCGCCCGCTCCCGAGCTTCTGTCAGGGGAGCCGGGCGTGCAGAGGCGGCTGAGGAGGCGGGAAGGCGGCAGTGGTTGAAGGGGTGATTGCTGACTAGCGGGGAGGGAGTGGGCAGCGATGGTAATGGCGGCGAAGAAGGGCCCGGGCCCGGGCGGCGGGGTCAGCGGGGGCAAGGCGGAGGCGGAGGCGGCCTCGGAGGTGTGGTGCCGTCGGGTGCGGGAGCTGGGTGGCTGCAGCCAGGCCGGGAATCGCCACTGCTTCGAGTGCGCCCAGCGCGGGGTCACCTACGTGGATATCACCGTGGGCAGCTTCGTGTGCACCACCTGCTCCGGCCTCCTGTGAGTGACCGGGAGGGAGTGGCCGAGGTCGGCGTGGGGGGACCCCGGGGACCCAAGGACGGGGTGGGGAGGCCGGGGCTCCGGGGCGCGAGAGAAAGAGGCCGAGGTGAGGGGTGGCGGGGAGGTCAGGGAACGCGCCGGCTGTGGGGACGGGGTCATCTGCTGCAGCGGTGTCGTGGGGAGGGGAAAGGGCAGGGGAGAGGAAGCAAGGCCGGAGTCGCGCTGCGGAGAGAAGGGTGGGGGTGCAGAAGGACGCCCGGAGAGGGACCGAGAAAGTCCCCGAGGGAGGCGAGGCAAACTGTAAGTGAGGAGGGAGAAAGTGCGGAGGATGGAAGGGAACTCGGGGTGGGATGGGGTGTCGGGACTTAAAGGGCCAGAAAATGACATGCACCTTTAGAGGGAACTTCATGCAGGTGGAAAGCAAAAAGGAAAAAGGTGGGGAAAGCCGGCCTGGAGATGGACGAGCACCTTTCTTCCTTCGGGCTTGTGTCTCTGCTGGAGTGTGAGATGCGGAAGCCAGCTGAAACTTGGTTGAAATTCCTATGATTAGAGTACAGGATTTTAAAATAAAAAAATTTTTTTTAATAGGCGAATTAACCCAGATTGACAGCCTAGAGATAGTAGCTGGAAGGGAGCCATGGTCCAGAGTTCAGGTGTAGATACTAATCTTAGCAGGGCTTTGAAATGTTACCCAGAAGGTAAAACTCTTATGAAATCTAAGAGATGAGAGCCAATGGGTTACCCTGGTAGAGAGCTTAGCTTTTTTAAACGTTTGCACATCTAGGTGAGCCATCCTGAAGGTTAATCATTTACACCTTTAAGCTCCCTGTTGCCATGGCTGGATCATGGTGGTAGCATCCAGGAAACTCTTTCTAGATTTTGGGGGGGCTTTGGTGCATCATCTGAGTGCTACACTTGGCATTGGTACTGTTCGGTCACGCCAGAGTGAATTTACAGCCACAGTTCTAGCCTAGATTTCTGGCTATATAGTAAGCCCCCCTCCACCCCCCTCAGCACTCCTCCTACCCCCAAATTAAGATATTATTTGGTGGCCGGGCGCGGTGGCTCAAGCCTGTAATCCCAGCACTTTGGGAGGCCGAGACGGGTGGATCACGAGGTCAGGAGATCGAGACTATCCTGGCTAACACGGTGAAACCCCGTCTCTACTAAAAAATACAAAAAAACTAGCCGGACATGGTGGCAGGCGCCTGTAGTCCCAGCTACTCTGGAGGCTGAGGCAGGAGAATGGCATAAACCCGGGAGGTGGAGCTTGCAGTGAGCCGAGATCCGGCCACTGCACTCCAGCCTGGGCGACAGAGCGAGATTCTGTCTCAAAAAAAAGAAAAAAAGAAAGATAGTATTTGGTTAGATGCATGATTAACATCTGATATCAGGCCTGGGTCTCTGTTTTTTTTTTAATAAGTTTGTCAAGGGATTTATTTTGACAATTTTTTAGTCTTATTTTAAGACTTGTTTTTGTTTTGTTTTTTTTAAAATGCTTTCCGGCCGGGTGCTGTGGCTCACTCCTGTAATCCCAGAACTTTGGGAGGCCAAGGCAGGCAGATCATGAGGTCAAGAGATCGAGACCATCCTGGCCAGCATGGTGAAACCCCATCTCTACTAAAAATACAAAAATTAGCTGGACGTGGTGGTGTGCACCTGTAGTCCCAGCTACTTGAGAGGCTGAGGCAGGAGAATCACTTGAACTCGGGAGGTGGAGGTTGCAGTGAGCCAAGATCATGCCACTGCACTTCAGCCTTGTTGACAGAGCAAGACACTGTCTCAAAAACAAACAAACAAAAAAAACCATTCCCTATCTTGATACCTTTAGGAGCCAGGGAGCAAGAAGTATTGTTCTTGCAAGACAGATGGGAGAACAGAAGCAAAGAGAGGTTTTGTAACTTATCCAATGCCATATGGGGGTTGCTGTTTCCAACACTTGTTGTTTGATATTAGTGATGATCATGGCAGACCAGCAATGAGGATTTAGTTCTCCCAAGAAGCAGTTTGGAATTATTTACTTCATTTTAACCTCCTTTGCTAAACCTCTCTGGGTTCTGATCAACCTCACTTGTGGGTTGTAAGGATGAATTCGACTTTGGTCTAAGTAAAAACCATCGTGGTTCTTGGGATAATGATTGAGAACCCAAACAGTAATGTGTCATAAACTGAGATAGACTCAAATGAAGCAAGAGGATAGAGACTAGGGAGTGGGTGAAGAACTCTGGGGACAGATTGAGCAACGTTTAGGAATATGTATAGGGGTCGGGCTCGGTGGCTTACGCCTGTAATCCCAACACTTTAGGAGGCCAAGGTGAGCAGATCACCTGAGGTCAGGAGTTTTGAGACCAGCCTGGCCAGCATGGCGAAACCTCATCTCTACTAAAAATACAAAAATTAGCCAGGCATGGTGGCAGGCACCTGTAATTCCAGGTACTCAGGAGGCTGAGGCAGGAGAATTGCTTGAACCCAAGAGGCAGAGGTTGCAGTGAGCCGAGATCGTGCCACTGTACTCTCCAGCCTGGGTGATGGAGTGAGACTCTGTCTCAAAAAAAAAAAAAAAGAAAAAAAAAAAAGAGTATGTATAGGGTAAAGTAGAAAGAGAAAGAGCTGATTCCTGAAGATCCTGCTATGAAAAGGGAAATCTCATTAGTCTGAAGAGAACTAAAGAGAAGTGGAAGGATGAAACTGATGGATAAAATTGAGTAAGTGGGAAGTGCTGACATTGTTATCATTATTTTGTAGATCTTTGTTAAAATGTCCCACAGATAACATTTCCCTTATAATACCCCTCAATCAGAACACAAAGAAAGCTAAGTATCTGGGACACATTAAAAACCTGGTTTCTTTTTTTTTTTGAGATGGAGTCTCACTTGCTTAGGCGGGACTGCAATGGCGTGATCCCAGCTCACTGCAACCTCTGCCTCCCAGGTTTAAGCAATTGTCCTGCCTCAGCCTCCTGAGTAGCTGGGACTACAGGCATGCACCACCACATCTGGCTAATTTTTGTATTTTTAGTAGAGATGGGGTTTCACCATGTTGGCCAGGCTGGTCTCGAACTCCTGACTTCAAGTGATCCACCCGCCTCAGCCTCCCAAAGTGCTGGGATTACAGGTGTGAGCCACGGCACCCAGGCTGCTTAGCTTTTTGGTAAAGCATTATGCGACTAAATCAGGGAGTGATTCTCATGGCGGTAGATTTAGAGAGCATATTTTGGTGTTTGGGAAATAAGAAGCTAGACCAACCCTTTGTTAGCAGGAAATGAGAGTGAAGTGAAAGATCAAGAGGCTAGGCCAGTAAATGTAGCTGAATTGAAGGCATGTTAAGAGTCTAAGGAGAGAAATTTCAGGAGAAACTCTGCAAGAAAGCTGAAGTTTCCCTATAATTAACATGACAAGGGCGAAGCATATAATCCTTGTAAAGGGGTCTTAACACAGTATTACCTGTGTCCCTTTGATGTGCTGTGGGAAGGAGTGGGAGCTGGCAGGTGGGCTGTAAGGCAGAATGTGAGGCAGGGGATGCTTATTTCTGGAGGCATGGCTCCATGGTGGCACGGAGACCAATTAGCATCTTAAATCCGCATGATTGATTACCTGTAGATTAGGGTTTATTGTTAGTGGGAAGTGAAAATTGTGGTCGGCTGACAGCCTGCACGTTCATTCATTCGGTCAGTCAACATGAACTTATTCAGTGCCTGTCAAGTGCCAGACACTGTTTTAGGTACTGGAGACAGAGTAGTGATAAAGTTCGCATTTTCACAGAGCTGACATCCTAGTGGAAGCCATGGACTATAAAGAAATCGTTCTGTATTGCTAAAGGCTGTGAAGTAAAATGAAGCTCTGTGGGTTAGAGTGATACCAAACTGAGGTTGATGCAAAGAGAATTATGATGATGATGATGATGATGATGATTAATAGTTGCCCAGGCTGGAGTGCAGTAGTGCGATCTTGGCTCACTGCAACCTCCGCCTCCTGGGTTCAAGCGATTCTCCTGCCTCAGCCTCCCCAGGGAGCTGGGATTACAGGTGCCCGCCACCAAGTCCGGCTAATTTTTTTATTTTTAGTAGAGATGGGGTTTCACCATGTTGGCCAGGCTGGTCTCAAACTCCTGACCTCAGGTGATCCACCTGCCTTGGCCTCCCAAAGTGCTAGGATTACAGGCATGAACTACTGTGCCTGGCCTTGAGAAGAAATATTCTTTGTTAAAATGAAGAGGATATTGAGGGAAGAAATTGAAATACCACACTTAGCATCATAGCCAGAGAAAGGAGACAGCAGGATGACATTATTTTAAAGGCCAATTTTCTGTTCAGTGTGTTACAAATATGTCTCCTTCATAAGGGAATAGAGTCGTCTGGGGGCAGTGAGCAAACTTACTAGAATTCCCAGCTGGCTGGATTGGCCGATGTAGCAAAGTTGACGGTTCCTGCCAAAGTTGAGTTTCCTAAGATCTGAAGAAAAACACGTATTTTAATATTGGTGGGTGCGTATGACTCTGCCTGCATCCCTGCATGTATGAGCTCATTCTTGTTCTCTCTTTTTAATGAGAAATATTTTCTCAGCTGTAGCAAAAACCCACAGCGTTGGTGTGAGGGCTTGAGAGAGAGGCTGCTAGTTTCTGCTGTTCCTAAATTTACATACATACTGCCACAATTGTAGGTCCCACACCTGACCTAGTTTTATTCATTTGGTTTTCTTCCAGTACCTAATTTCCTTAACCTAGATGTGGATCTGTTTAATTTCCACAACATACACATATGCTTGTTTGTTTAGTTACATTTCTAACTCTTGGAGGATGAATCTGTCATTTGAATCTTAAGACGGGGTAAAAATTGCTGCTAAAAAGCATCTATTTGCAAAGCAGTTCTTTAAATGTTCTTTCTTGTTCTGGTTTGCCTGAATGCTTCTGTGGATGAACCACTGTTCCTCAGAAAGAAAATGGATGTTGAGGCCTGAGATCTCATTGACATAAGGATGGACACTAACTTTGACACCCAATTTTTTCAGCAAAGTATGACATGTTTCCTTGATGTGGCTGTTTGGGTCCATCTTCAATCCATCGTTCTTCAGGCGTTGGTAATAGATACTTATCTCTTCTACTTCTGCCCAACTTTACTGTGATCACAGGAGTCAGAATTAAGGTGGGCAGAGCTCTGGGCTGGGTGTCAAGAATGCACTTGACAGCTCTTTATTTGTGACAGGTTCCTGCCCTCCTTGTCCCTTACTTTCCCTGTCTGACTTGCTGATGGTTCTTAGTTGAAGCATTTTAATCTCCATGGGAGGAAAGGTATAATACGTTGTTCAATAATTCAGTACTTTTCCATCTGTCTGAGTTGGAGAGGTACACATGTACCTTGCCCCTGTTTTAGTCCCATCCCTCCATCCCCTCCTCTGTCATCTTTCATGTTGACCTCTGTTGGGCAGAGGTGGACAGAGTCTCACTAAATTACAGATTTAGGTGCTGTTTCATAATGGGCGCATGAACCACTTGAAAAGCCCCTAAGGAAGTAATAAATTACTAAAGGGATGAGAAGAAGCTCGACGGGGGGGTGGTGAGAGAGGTGAGGGCGGAGGGAGAAATGTAAAAAGGATTGAGGTTGAGCCTAAAGGGAAGGGCGGCTAGATGCTATCAGGAGTCTATCTGACTCTAATCAACAGGACAGCTGCTTATCATTGCTGCTGAGGAGGAACAAAGGAAATGGATTGAAGCAGAATTTAGATCAGGAGGAGGTTGCCTAAAATTAGTGAAATTGACCCTGGAGCAGGGTAATAGGAGAGCCTTCCTCTTAGGCACTACTGAAAGTTCCTAACAGGGACTCTTCATAGCGATGTTTGCATCCAAGATAAGAGCTAAACTGGTTTAGTTGTACCCTGTTCAGAAGCAGAGGAGTGAAATCCCAGAGCAGAGAAACACGATCTGGGGCGTATGAATCTGAACACAAATGTTCAAAGGCAAGGATTTCCCAAGTCCAAATTTGGCACAAATGAAAAAGAACTTGGGTGCTGGGTGGAACTGGTTTTTTTCCATTGTTGACCTGGCAGAACTTTCTTATCTGAGCAGCTGAGCAGGTTTGATGCTTTTATGAAGCAAGATAGAAGCAAAAATATGGGCCAGCATGAGGGTGATGATCACAGCAAAACAAAAGGTGTGGTATTTGTGGAAATAGTACTATGCTTAATGGAATCAGAGGGGAGACGGGAGGGAGGGAAAGAGAGGACCGGGCAGACGTTAGCCGCTACACATACAAGTGGCTTCAGCTGCCAAATAATTCAGACTACTTCAAATGCCCTTTAGGTGCCCTGTGAAAAAGAAACTAGTGGATAAAGACAACCTGACTGACTGGAGTCTTGAGTCCTAGTAATAATGTACTTTCAATTGGAAAAACTTACTCTATTCTGAGAAAATAAATTGATCTTTGTTCCTCCCCAGCACTTCCTGGTTAGAAATACCAGAATGAATTTGCTGTGATTTCTTCTTTTGGGAGGAACCTGAGAGTTATGTTGGGGAACTGGGTGCAAGTAGGAGAGCTGGGCCTGTTTAATTCCAGGCCAGTGACTCACATCTGGTCTGCTGCATGACCCTGGTGTATACCCAGTGAAATGCAACATACCTAGGCCACATGATTTTAGCTACCAGGAGGAAGGGGGCTCTTGTTTCTAAATTGCTTCTTTTGGCCAGCAGTGGCCTCTCTCTGATTCAGAAAGAAAAACTCTGACTCATAGGCCATGTAACTAGGCCCCCTTCCTAGGCTGCAGTGTTGCCTTGTAGAGAATTCTCCCTGCCCCCAGACTGTGGCTCTGGTTGTACAAAATCCAGTCTACAGACATCAAGGTCAGAGCAATGCTTTTTGTACTGTGCTATGGAAACATCCTGTTCCATCAGATTCATTTGGCCCAAAGCACCTAAATCATTTCTTATTTTCTCTGCCTTCCCATCATCCTATCACATCCGTCCGGCCCCCCCCACCCCCCCCCCCCCCCCCAAAAATAAACTCTTTTAGTCCAGGCTCAACCATAAGTTCTGTTCTAAGCATCCCATCTTGACTGATGCCTGGGTTGAGTCCCGCCTCCTCCCCCTAACAAGGAAGCACACCTCCCTGTTTACAGTTCGCTGACAGTTCCTGGTTATCCATTCAGGAAATGTCAATGACCTTTTTGTGATAGGCTTAGAATCTGTTTTTCTAGTGTAAACATAATACGTTTTACCTTCCCCATGACCGTTTCTCTTCCTTCCGCAACTGCTGCATCCTGGAGTCACGTTCTCCCTGATACATCAGTGCCTGACTGAATAGAACCCTACTGCAGTGAGAAGTACTTTTGTCCAGGCTTCCTGGGTTCTTCTTGTGAGCTCCTGGTGATAAGATAATTCGGTCCTATAATTTTTGTATCTCCCACAGTGCCTCCTATAATGCCTTGTGTTTTGGCAAAGTGAATTTTGTTTGTAGGAGGTGAAGGAGAAGACCTTTAAGATCACAGGGACAGTGAGGTCTGGCTAGACTTCAGAAAGCCCTGACATTCTGAAGGGGAAGGGCCTATTGGTTAAGGTGAGAAAGGGTATAAAAGCAGGCTGGCTAGAATTAAAAGCAAAACCAAACCAAGCCATTAGCAAGAGAGGCCTTAGGAGACAGAACCGACTATCTCTGAAATGTGATCGACTATCTCTGAAATGTGATCAGAAGACAGTCTTCAGGGCAGATCGAGCTTAAGAGCTATTGTTTGACATGTAGTAACAAAGCCTTGCTTTTGTTTTTCCCTGAGCTTATCTTTCCTTGGGGGCATCAGTCCTCTTTGATATTGCTTGTCTTTTATAAGAGCATTTTTGATACCCTTTATACCTAAAGGTCTAGCAGCAGAATTGCTACAAACAGCGTCAACTGGAGCCTCTAGTGTCCTGTCCTTTGTTAAAATCCCATGATGAGTAATTTATCATCCGCAGGGTGGCCGCCCTTTACTGTTCACTCTGTACTGAGTCCGCCCACTCCCTGCCCCCCACCCCTGGCCCCCGCCCCGCTTTTGCTTACACGCTCACTGCCATTCTCCCAGACTTGGCAGGAACACTTGGATTCTATGTGTGCACCTGTTAGTGTGAATGTATGTTTTCCCTACCTTCTTTGTGAATTTTCGGGATTTTCATCTGTTAAGTATTTTTGTCTCTTTTTCCCCCTTTGGTCTTCCTGAGGACGTCGTCAGCCAGGACCCTATTCTAGATTTTTATTTGAACAACTCCATTTGGCCATTTTTTTTTCCATGAGAGTAAAAGTCTGAAGAGGCCTCATCTGCTGAGACTGCTTGCCTCCTGGTCCCAGGGTCTAGCTTGTTTTGGTTTGGGCAGTTTTGTTTTAATCCAATGAGGGTAGTAGACCTAGACCAGAATACAACTTAAGGTGCAAGAACAGGAGAACCTATGAAGGCCTACCTGGCTTGGCCCCAAGTTTCCTCTATTAGAACACTCCTGAGACCAGTTGAGTGGGGACAAGGAAGCTTTCTCTTCTCTTATAATCTCCACAGGGTTCCTGGAGGCAGAACTGGATTCCCAGGGAGTTAGCAGAACATACAGAGGAGGCACAAAAGCATTGCCACAGGATACATATTCCTCGCCCATGCCAGCCTCATAGCTCATGGTTGAACTTGACTTCTTGCTTTACTGAGAGTTATAGAAATAAGAAAGTCAAATATTTCTTTTCCTAGAGATGGCTTCCTGAAAGAGAGGGACCCTCTCCATCCCACCACCACTCCACCCTTCTGTGTAGACTCAAGGAGGGCCAGCCGGGCTAGAGACTTTTTTGTCACCAAATCCTGTCTTTGTTAGTGTTATCAAGAATAGTCCTGGGCCTTCATTTTTGCCTTCCCTCATGCTTGAGGGATTTGTGTTTTTGTGGGCCCTGGTACCTTGGGGATGGGCTGCAGGTCTAAAGCAATGATAAAGTAGGAAATGGGAAGTGGTCACGCGTCTGAGTTCCCAGAAGTATACCCTCGACCTACAAGCTGAACACTGAAACTACTGGGATCTGAGCCAGGCTAGACGAGGCTTCTGGATGGGTGGGCTCTGCCTTTCCCCTCCGGAATGACTGGGATCACAGGGTGTTCCTGACTCTCTCTTCCCTGTCTCTTTGGAGACTTCTTTTTTTTTTTTTTTTTTTTTTTTGTAGTGGGAGTGGGGCGGAGGGACAGAGTCTTGCTCTGTTGCCCAGGCTGGAGTGCAGTGGCGTGATTTCGGCTCACTGCAGCCTCTGCCTCCCAGGTTCAAGATATTCTCCTGCCTCAGCCTCCTGAGTAGCTGGGATTACAGGTGTGCACCACCACGCCCAGCTAATTTTTGTATTTTTAGTAGAGATGGGGTTTCACCATGTTGGCCAGACTGGTGTTGAACTCCTGGCCTCAAGTGAGCTGCCTGCCTCAGCCTTCTAAAGTGCTGGGATTAAAGAGGCTGTACCTGGCCTCTCTTTGGAGACTTCTAATGTCTCCAAAATATTCCAAATATTCCAAATATTTCCCTTCCTTCCTGGAATTAGGAAGTAGCTTCAGATGGGGGGGTTCTGGCCGGGTGCGGTGGCTCAAGCCTGTAATCCCCAGCACTTTGGGAGGCCAAGACGGGTGGATCACGAGGTCAGGAGATCGAGACCATCCTGGCTAACACGGTGAAACCCTGTCTCTACTAAAAAATACAAAAAAACTAGCCGGGCGAGGTGGCGGGCGCCTGTAGTCCCAGCTACTCGGGAGGCTGAGGCAGGAGGATGGCGTAAACCCGGGAGGCAGAGCTTGCAGTGAGCTGAGATCTGGCCACTGCACCCCAGCCTGGGTGACAAAGCGAGACTCTGTCTCAAAAAAAAAAAAAAAAAAAAAAAAGGATGGGGGGCTTCTATCTGAGCTTAGTTTATATGCTATTGTTCCACCTTTTCTGCCTCCTCCCCCTCCCATGAGCAGCCTGCCGTGCTAACTGCATTGTACTTCTCTCTCTTCCCGTTTCTCTCCCGCAGGAGAGGGCTGAATCCCCCTCATCGTGTCAAGTCAATCTCCATGACAACTTTCACTGAGCCTGAAGTAGTATTCCTGCAATCCCGTGGAAATGAGGTGAGCTGCCACCGATGGAGTGGTGAGAAGGTCGCCCTATCTGCAGGTGGGGCTTTGTCTCAAGATTGTAGGGAAACCTTATGGTTTCATTTTTGGTTGCGTTTCTCTGAATTTTTTCATATGTGTGATTTCTTTCCTTAGGTATATTTGTATATTTACAGAATCTTTATTCTGTTATACAAATCGTGGTTTGTCTAAGCTCCTTTTTCAGGAGTCAGGGGAAGTAGCAATATCTTTGTAGGATGTGGCACCTGAGCAATGGAGGGGTAGAATGATCAGAGCTCCAGAGCATGAGCATTCAGAGTTGACTGGGCCAGCCTCTCTGAGGAAGCTCTCCTGGAGCCAGCTCTGCCGCCTTAAGCCTTGACCACCTGGATTTAAGTGCATATCTTTTACTTGAAAGTGACTTGTAAACCCCTTCCCTAGCTAAATCTGACAATCCGAAGTTGCTATCCTTGGCGTTAGCAGTACCCCTAGCTTATGGGTGATTGGTTTACTTAGAGGGTGTCCTCAAGGGCCTCTGGAGGTGTCCTGGAAGCCAAAGCTCTGAAAGTTGTCCCAGACCCTACCCTTATCGAAATTTAATTCTCCATAATTCTTATGACCCTCTATTTTCCTTTTTCAATACATGTCACAAAATGTGATTATAACTTTAGTTTTATTTATCTAAGACATGACCGCCCCATTGGATTATAAACTCTGCAAGGACAGGAATCATATCTGGTTTGTAGATAGACTCAGATCCTAGCACTGTATTTTTATTTATAATACAGGAGGCAGGAGAATTGCTTAAACCCCGGAGGTGGAGGTTGCAGTGAGCCGAGATCGTACCACTGCACTCCAGCCTGGCGACAGAGTGAGAATCCATCTCAAAAGAAAAAAAAGGAAGTGGTATCTTTTATATTTCCTGCTTTCTGCTCCCACTCCTCTGACACCTTCATTCTTTTAGGTTTGCCGGAAGATTTGGCTGGGTCTATTTGATGCTCGGACATCTTTAGTACCAGATTCCAGGGATCCTCAGAAAGTGAAGGAGTTTCTCCAGGAAAAATATGAGAAGAAGAGATGGTAAGGAGTAGGAAAGAGGTTGCTATGGAAACGTGTTCAAGACATTCTGCATCTGACAGTCCAGTTTCTAGAGTTGAATTTGACCTTCTCACAAAGGCTAGACTTGGGTTGAGTCTGTTCCACTCCCATTCAGTTACAGGTAAAATAAATCTACATGAAAGGACAACTTGTTCTCAGTCACTAACCCTGCAGATTTTATGTCCTCTCTTTTGGAGAGATAATAGACTAATTAGAGTAGGGAGGTAGGCCTGTGGGTGTTCATTTTTATAGCTCAGCTGATCTTGTATATGGAGAGAGATGGCAGGAAGCACACAGCCTATAGTTTTATTCCTTTAACCCATCATTTCATGATTTTTTTTTTTTTTTTTTTTTTTTGAGACCAGGTCTCACTCTGTTGCCCAGGTTAGAGTGCAGTGCCACAGTCACAGCTTACTGCAGCCTCAGCTTCTTGGGGCTCAGGTGATCCTCCTACCTCATCCTCTCCAGTAACTGGTACTACAGGTGTGTGCCACCATGCCTGGCTAATTTTTATATTTTTGGTAGAAATGGGGTTTCACCATGTTGCCCAGGCTAGTCTCAAACTCCTGGGCTCAAGTGATCTGCCCGCCTTGGCCTCCCAAAGTGCTGGGATTACAGGCGTGAGCCACCACGCCCAGCCTTGTTTCATGATTTATATGTACAGTCAGCCCTCTGTATCTGTAGATTCTGCATCCATGGATCCAATCAACCTCACATCAAAAATATTTGGGAAAACAGGCCATGCACGGTGGCTCACTCCTGTAATCCCAGCACTTTGGGAGGCTGAGGTGAGCAGACCACTTGAGGTCAGGAGTTCGAGACCAGCCTGGCCAACATGGTGAAACCCCCGTCCCTACTAAAAATAAAAAAAAAAATTAGCTGAGTGTGGTGGTGGACACCTGTAATCCCAGCTACTCTTGAGGCTGAGGTAGGAAAATCGCTTGAACCCAGGAGGCGGAGGTTGCAGTGAGCTGAGATTGTGCCATTGCACTCCACCCTGGGGAAAGAGAGAGACTCTGTCTCAAAAAAAAAAAAAGGGCCGGGGGCTGGGGGGAACACAAAAAATAACAATACAACAATAAAAAATAATACAAATAAGGCCAGGCACGGTGGCTCATGCCTGTAATCCCAGCACTTTGGGAGGCCGAGGTGGGTATATCACAGGGTCAGGAGTTCAAGACTAGCCTGGCCAACATGGTGAAACCCCGTCTCCACTAAAAATACAAAAAATTAGCCAGGCATGGTGGTGGCCACCTATAATCCCAGCTACTCGGGAGGCTGAGGCAGAGAACTGCTTGAACCCGGGAGGTGGAGGTTGCAGTGAGCCAAGATGGTTCCACTGTACTCCAGCCTGGGCGACAGAGTGAGACTCTGTCTCAAAAATAATAATAATAATAATAATACAAATAAAAAGCAATACAATATAGCAACTATTTGCATGTCATTTACATTATATTAGGTATTATAAGTAACCTATAGATGATTTAAAGTATATTAGAGGATTACATGTTTGATATGCAAATATTTCACCATTTTATAGAAGAGACTTGAGCATCCTGTCCTCTGATTATGGAATTGTCGGGGGATCGTGGAACCAGTTCCCTGGGAATACCATGGGACAACTATATTTTGTCTTTCTGATGAAGGAAACAGCATCTCCATTCTCCCTTACCTTTCCTCTCCCCTGGTATCACTTCTTGTGGGATCTCCAGGGTGTGTACATGTTGGGAGGTAACTGTGAGGTAGAGAAGAGAATGCAGAGAACAAAGAGATTGATGTGGATAAGACCACACTGTGGAGTCCCTCCTAGGGATGTCCTCAGGATTAAGGTGACACTTACCGAGTAGGGGCCACCTACACTGTAGTGGAAGGGAATTGTCTCGGCAGTAGCAGGAGCTGGCAGGATAGAAGTGTGGATTGTCAGCACCTAGAGGATGAGGTGGCAGGCAGCTTTTCTGTGGAACTGAGAAGAAGGAGTCTGAAGAAACACCCAGGAAATAAAAGAGGGGGACCTTTGCCAGGTGTGGTCGCTCATGAACTTTGTAATTCGTGATTCCAGAACTTTGGAGACTAAGGCAGGAGGATCACTTGAGGCCAAGAGGTTGAGACCAGCCTGGGCAACATAGTGAGACCTCGTCTCTACAAATAATTAAAAAATTAGCCAGGCATGGTAGCGTGTACTTGTGGTCCCAGCTACTTGGGAGGCTGAGGCAGGAGGATCACTTGAGCCTGGGTGGTTAAGGCTACGATGAGCCAACATTGCCCCACTGCACTCCAGCCTGGGTGACAGAGCGAGACCCTGTCTCAAAAAAACCAAAAGATGTTCAAGGGGATGCTCAAGATAGGCAGAACTTTGCTAAGTTGCTTGATTGCCTTCATAAAAGGGAATTAGTAGAGAAAAATGAGCATAGATTTTGACTCCTGTAACCTGTGTCTTCCCAAACACCTAAGCTGAGCATGGTCCAAAGTTTTATCCCTCTCTTTACAGCCTAACTATTCTTTCTCAAAGGTATGTCCCCCCAGACCAAGTCAAGGGGCCCGCTTATACCAAAGGCAGTGCCTCCACCCCTGTGCAGGGCTCCATCCCAGAAGGAAAGCCCCTTCGGACACTTCTGGGTGATCCTGCACCGTCTCTCTCAGTTGCTGCCTCCACCTCGAGCCAGGTAACTCTCAGATCTGCTCGTCATGTTTCTGTTGAGATTTGGGAGACAGGAGTGTCAGTTTCCTGAATCAGATTCCCCCGACTTAGCAGACAACAGTGCAGGAGCTGTGAGTTGGTTCTCAGTCCTGCTGTTAACCCGTATCTTGTATTTGTCACTTCTGGACCTCCTATCTTTTGGAAGTCAGAACCCAACAGGAAGTGGTATTTAGGGAAGTCAGAGTATCAGCTCCAAACCTGAGCATTCCATCAAAGAAACACAGAAGGGGCTGGGATATGGTGTCCAATACCTGGGAAAGTTGAGGAGTAACAGCCATGGGGGCAGTGTTGGGCAACATTCCTGTATATCTCAGGGTTACCTTGGCTCATGTGCTGTAAAATGTGTGGTTCTTGGAGCAGGTGTACTGAGAAGACGATGATATGAGCTGTAAGAGGGCCTAAGGCAGCTGCTGCCCAGGAAACTTTTAGGTTGAGGGCAGTTACTCACTGTCTTCTCTCTCCATCTGCCTATCTGAGGGCAACCTGGGGAGCCAGAGGAGGGCCTGAGGCATGTCTGGGATTCTAAGGGCTGTATGCAATTCCTTCTCCTCCAAGCCCGTCAGTCAGTCTCACGCTCGGACATCCCAGGCCCGGAGCACTCAGCCACCTCCCCACTCCTCTGTCAAAAAAGCCAGTACTGACCTGCTGGCTGACATTGGTGGAGACCCCTTTGCTGCACCCCAGACGGCACCAGCTTTTGCTGCATTCCCTGCCTTTGGGGGTAAGTGAGTTTTGGTATGGGACCCTCCCTACAGCATATATACTTACAACATGAGAGATACAGTCCCTGGAGGTGACCATGGCTCTAGATCTTCTCATGCAAACAAATGTGAAGGTCACTCTGAAGCAGCAAGGCTGGGAGGATTGGGGTCAAATAAGTACAGCCAGGATTATGTTTGGGAGTTTGATCCTAAAACATTACAGTTGAGGGCTCCTAGCACTTCCTTTTAGAACACTGGAAATAGCCTTTTTTACTGTTTTCTCTCTCTTAAAATGGGAGGACGGGGATTATCATGTGTTCCATTTCACTAAAGATTATTCTTCCCCCAAATCAGCAATAGCCAGTAGAGGGTTGAGTAGCGTAGAATCTGTTTTCCTTTTTTAAAAATTTTCAAGCCGGACACAGTGGCTCACACCTGTAATCCTATCATTTGAGAGGCCGAGGCAGGTGGATCACCTGAGGTCAGGAGTTCAAGACCAGCCAGGCCAACATGGTGAAACCCCGTCTCTACTAAAAAGAAAAAAGAAAAAATTAGCCAAGTGTGGTGGCACGTGCCTGTGGTCCCAGCTACTCGGGAGGCTGAGGCAGGAGAATTGTTTGAACCTGGGAGGCGGAGGTTGCAGTGAGCTGCAATTGCGCCACTGCACTTCAGCCTAGGTGACAGAGTGAGACTCCGTCTCAAAAAAAAAAAAAAAAAATTCAAGCTCCTTCCTCCATGAAAAAAAATTTTCATGCCCCAAACTAGGCCCTGACAAACATGTTAATGCCTCATGGAGTAAGGATAGAAGAGGGCAGGGAGTGAACCTGGAGGCCCTGGGTGCCCCTGTCCCCCTGTGTGGGTCTGGCTCTTGGCCCCAGGCCCCACCCATTTCCCTCTGAAGAGGACCCTGTGGAAAGGCAGATGTCCTATAAGAGTGGCCTTTGGCCTTTAGAATTAGTAGATATATTACATAGATAAGCATATACATTTTCTTTTCTTTTTCTGTTTTTGTTTTTGTTTTGAGTCAGAGTCTCATTCTGTCACCCAGGCTAGAGTAGAGTGGCACAATCTCGGCTCACTGCAACCTCCACCTCCCAGGTTTAAGCAATTCTCATGCCTCAGCCTCCCAGGTAGCTGGGATTACAGGCATGTACCACCACGGCCAGCTAATTTTTATATTTTTAGTAGAGAGAGGGTTTTACCATGTTGGCCAGGCTGGTCTTGAACGTCTGACCTCAACTGATCTGCCCGCCTCGGCCTCCCAAAGTGCTGGGATTACAGGCGTGAGCTACCACACCCGAGAATTTTCTGTATAACCTTTATGTTTCTTCCACCTACAGGTCAGACACCTTCCCACGGGGGCTTTGCCAACTTTGATGCCTTCAGCAGTGGCCCCAGCCCTTCTGTGTTCGGAAGCCTCCCTCCAGCTGGTCAAGCCCCGTTCCAGTCCCAGCCAACTCCTGCGGGTAAACTCTGCCCCACTGGCTTCCTTTCTCTTCCTACCGTGTCCATTTGTTCATGTCCATAAATCAGCCTTCATTCATATCCTCACTATCCTAAAGAGCAAAGCAGCAAAGCACAAAGAGAAGCAGCTCCAGGAGAGGATGAGCGTGTCTGACACATTCTTGTCAGGGAGAGGGGGCTCTACTGTTCTGCTTTTTCATGAAAGGAAAAATGACTAAGATTGCAGCAGGAGCTGTGTGGGTTATACACTAGGAAACTTTTCACTAGGAAGTATGGAAGACCTGAGTCCTACACGGATGTGACCTTTTTCTTTTTTTTTTTTTTTTGAGACGGAGTCTCACTCTGTCGCCCAGGCTGGAGTGCAGTGGCCGGATCTCAGCTCACTGAAAGCTCCGCCTCCCGGGTTTACGCCATTCTCCTGCCTCAGACTTCCGAGTAGCTGGGACTACAGGCGCCCGCCACCTCGCCCGGCTAGTTTTTTGTATTTTTTAGTAGAGACGGGGTTTCACCGTGTTAGCCAGGATGGTCTGGATCTCCTGACCTCGTGATCCGCCCGTCTCGGCCTCCCAAAGTGCTGGGATTACAGGCTTGAGCCACCGCGCCCGGCCCGACCTTTTTCTTTAAGGTGCTCTTGTCTGCACAGTACACTGTCCCAAAGGGTCAAGGGTCAAGGTAGTCTCCAGAAGTCCTCATCCATCCCACTAAGACCAAAGGCCTGTAAACTCTACGTTGCTGCCAGCCACAATGGCTCATGCCTGTAATCCTAACACTCTGGGAGGCTGAGGTGGGAGGATCACTTGAACCCAGGAGTGTGAGGCTGCAGTGAGTGATTACTGTGCCACTGCACTCCAGCCTGGGTGACAGAGTGAGACCCTGTCTCAAAACAAATAAACATACAAAACCAAAAAACGATGCTATTTAGCCATTGCAAGAGACTCTTCAGGCCTTCTTAAAGCATTCTGCTCCTTCCTAAGCTCTAGATGTCGAGTCTTCATAGCCTTTGGGTGCCTTCTGCCTTTGGACATCCTGGACAATGGGAGGGCAGCTGCAGTGCTCGCTGTCAGGCCCAGATGTCTGGGGAAAAGCCAGTGACATACACTCTTTCTTTTTCCCTTCCTCTACCCATCCTTCTCTTCGCCACCCTCACTGCCAGCCAGTCGGATGCTAACTGAAAGTTACAGCTTTGGTAAGTTATTCTCCCCACCCCAGAGCCTACCCAAGCGCCTCTGATCATAGAGTTCTGAGGGCTGGAAAGAACCCTTAAAATTTGGTCATTTGACAGATAAGGCAGTTAAGCAATTTCCCTAGTCATGCAGGCCACAGAGTGACCAAGCTGAGACCAGAGCCCAGACTTCTTGACTCATGCTGTGCCCACAGCCTTCTCACTGTGCCACTGTGAGCTGATTAGCTGCTTTTGTTTCTATTTTATCATTTTGGAGGGCGACAAGAAGAAACATATATTGATAAAAGTTGGCTGGGTATGGTGGTTCACACCTGTGATCCCAGCACTTTGGGAGGTCCAGGTGGGCAGATCACCTGAGGTCAGGAGTTCGAGATCAGCCTGGCCAACATGGTGAAACACCATCTCTACTCAAAATACAAAAATTAGCTGGGCGTGGTGGCAGGCGCCTGTAATCCCAGCTACTCGGGGGACTGAGGCAGGAGAATCACTTGAACCTGGGAGGCAGAGGCTGCGGCGAGCTGAGATCATGCCACTGCACTCCAGCCCGAGTGGCAGGGTAAGACTCTGTCTCAAAAAAAAAAAAAAAAAAAAAGTTCACAAAGAGGTTCTCAAAACCATGTACTTAAAATAACTGACCTCATACCGGTGAGATTCACGAAGCAAAAACTATTAGACACAATCAGAATTTAATAAGCCAAAGGAGTAGGAGACTATAATTTGTATTTTGGTAGACTATAATTTGTACAATGCTTTCCCACATGACTAGCAGACAAGTAAGAAAGAAACTAGGAAACAAAATCTCCATAAATTCTAACAAAGAGAAATCACATAGGTCACATTCTAGTTTTTGTTGTTGTTTTTTGTTTTTTTGTTTGTGTGTTTTTTGAGACAGAGTCTTACTCTGTCGCCCAGGCTAGAGTGCAACGGCGCAATCTCATTCAAGCGATTCTCCTGCCTCAGCCTCCTGAGTAGCAGGATTACAGGCACATGCCACCGTGCCCGGCTAATTTTTGTATTTTTAGTAGAGATGGAGTTTCATTCACTATGTTGGCCAGGCCAGTCTCAATCTCCTGACCTCAAGTGATCCGCCTGCCTTGGCATCCCAAAATTCTGTGATTACAGGCATGGGCCACCATGCGTGGCCATAGGTCACATTCTGTATGATAAAAGATGACATAAACAAAGCTTAAAGGCATGAAACAGATGGAGAGACGATACAACATAGAAAACAGATGGAAGTTAGTATCTATAAAGTATTTTTAAAATTCCTGCAAATACGAAAATGGAATAATGGACAAGAGATACAAGCAGGTAACACCCAGAAAAGAAATATGAAAATAGGCCAGGCGTGGTGGCTCATGCCTATAATCCCAGCAGTATGGGAAGCTGAGGCAGGTGGATCACTCTGAGGTCAGGAGTTTGAGAACAGCCTTGCCAACATGGTGAAACCCCATCTCTGCTAAAAATACAAAAATTAGCCGGGCGTGGTGGCAGGCGCCTGTAATCGCAGCTACTTGGGAGGCTGAGGCAGGAGAATCGCTTGAACCTGGGAGGCGGAGGTTGCAGTGAGCAGAGATCGCACTATTGCCCTCCAGCCTGGGCGACAAGAATGAGACTTGGTCTCAAAAAAAAAAAAAAAAAAGAAAATATCCTCAACCTAACTAATCAGAGAAATGCAAACTAGGATAAGATAGTTTTGCACATCATATTGGCAAAATTTTTAGATTGATAATGGCCAGTATCATGTGGGGAAAAGGACCTTCTTGTTCGCTGTTGGCAGAAATTGTACATTGGTGCAGGAATATTCAATTTAGTAAGAAAGGTGTGCTCCCAGGAATGGGAGCACTCGAGGAAACAGCCTATATAAAGTTGTTATAGATGTGTCCCTTCTGAAATGCCTTCCCAGTACAATTGATTGCTCTAAAGACAAGAGTTTTTGGGGCGGACTCAGGGAGAAGGAAGGGCTCAGCCCCACGGATGTTCCAAGCATTAAACCTTTTGTCCACTATCTGGCTGTCTCAAAAAGCAGTCAATCACTGGGCGCGGTGGCTTATACCTGTAATCCCAGCACTTTGGGAGGCTGAGGGGGTGCATCATTTGAGGTTAGAAGTTTGAAACCAGCCTGGCCTACATGGTGAAAACCCCCTCTACCAAAATACAAAAATTGGTCGGGCGTGCTGGTGCGTGCCCATAGTTCCAGCTACTGGGGAGGCTGAGGTAGCAGTGAGCTGAGATTGTGCCTCTGCACTCCAGCCTGGGTGACAGAGCAAGACTCTGTCTCAAACAAAACAAAACCGTCAAATTACAGCCAAACCCAGAGCCAAGGAACATTTCCGAGGATTCTGCCATTGTTGGGCACCTTCATGCACTATGTCCATGAGGAAAGAAAGAGCCTCCCTTTGCAGGAAACTGGCTCAACTTGGCCCAGATCTAATGCTGATAATTGGCAGAACCACTTCCCACTACACCATGATCATGCAGGTGTTCCTGTGAGTGTGATTTAGCTATTGGGTGTGAACTGAGAGGAGATTTTGAGAGGTGGGTGTCTCTTCTGACAAGCCTGCTTTTATTTTTATATTTCTGAGGGGGAGTATGGAGAGAGGGGAGGTTTTCAAAACTGCTTCTCTGAAACTGCGATAAGGCATGGTAGAAATCTAGCTGCGTGGCGTAAGAAGCGCATGAAGGCCGGGTGTGGTGGCTCATGCCTGTAATCCCATCACTTTGGGAGGCTAAGATGGGCGGATAACCTGAGCTCATGAGTTCGAGACCAGCCTGGGAAACATGGCAAAACTTCATCTCTACCAAAACTACAAATAATTAGCTGGGAATGGTGGTATGCGCCTATAGTCCCAGCTACTCAGGAGGCTAAGGTGGGAGAATCAGCTGAGCCCTGAAGGTCGAGGCTTCAGTGAGCTGAGATTGTGCTACTGCACTCCAGTCTGGGCAACTGGAATGAAACCCTGCCTCAAAAAAAAAAAAAAAAAGTACATGAAATGAAAAGCAAACAGGAGCGCAGGTGTTTCTTGGGCCACCGCCTCCTTTATGAGAATGCACTCTGTGCAAAGGGCCAACCCCACCTAGGCTAGGGATGGTTCTGCCCCCTAGTGTTCACAGGGAGGCACAGCATGACCTGCAGCCTCTCTCCCAGCTTGGTCCTCACTGGGGTGAGCTCCTGGAACATGAAGGACCACAGTAGTACAAAGAATCAGCCATCCGAGGAGAGGGAGCTATGCTCGCATGGAAATTCCACACACTGTACTTGGAGGCAGGCAGACAGGGAAAGGCCTCGACTGGAAGAGTCAGTAGAGGATCCAACACCATGCTGCTGGCTTTTTTTTAAAACAGTCTCGCCCTATTGCCTAGGCTGGAGTGCAGTGGCTTGATCTTGGCTCACTGCAATCTTACTCTTTCAGGTTCAAGTGATTCTGGTGCCTCAGCCTCCCATGTAGCTGGGATTACAGGTATGCACCCCCATGCCCAGCTTATTTTTGTGCTTTTAGTAGAGACAGGGTTTTGCCATGTTGGCCAGGCTTGTCTTGAACTCCTGACCTCAAGGGATCTGCTTGCCTCAGCCTCCCAAAGTGCAGGGATTACAGGTGTGAGCCACTGGGCCCGACCCCAGCCAGCTGGCTTTCTAGCCTGCCTAACAGTCTGTGGATTAGAAAGGATTGATAACCAAGTAAGCACAGTGGCATTGTAGCCTTTCCCAGGAGGAAGCTGGCAGCCAGCACTCGTTCATCTAGAAAGCCCAGACATTTAGGAAGGAGGTGGCAAAGGAGAGCACTGTCTTACAAGTGCCGACACTCAGTGAGAGGGAGCGGGGCTTCAGGACCTGGCAGCAAGTAGGCACTGGGCACTTCGTCTTCCCTGCTAGATTCTCAACTTCTCCAACTTAAGGCCCGGGTCGCTGTTATTTATGCATAGTGCCTAGCATGTAGAAGATCTCCCTCTTTTTTTTTTTTTTGAGATGGAATCTTGCTCTGTCGCCCAGGCTGGAGTGCAGTGGCGCAATCTCGGCTCATTGCAAGCTCCGCCTCCTGGGTTCACACCATTCTCCTGCCTCAGCCTCCTGGGTAGCTGGAACTACAGGCCCCCGCCACCACATCTGGCTAATTTTTTTTTTGAGACGGAGTCTCGCTGTGTCGCCCAGGCTGGAGTGCAGTGGCCGGATCTCAGCTCACTGCAAGCTCCGCCTCCCGGGTTTACACCATTCTCCTGCCTCAGCCTCCCGAGTAGCTGGGACTACATTAGCTGGGACTACAGGCACCCGCCACCTCGCCCGGCTAGGTTTTTGTATTTTTTAGTAGAGACGGGGTTTCACCGTGTTAGCCAGGATGGTCTTGATCTCCTGACCTCGTGATCCGCCCGTCTTGGCCTCCCAAAGTGCTGGGATTACAGGCTTGAGCCACCGCGCCTGGCCTCCCTTTTTTTTTTTTTTTTTTGAAACGGAGTTTTGCTCTTGCTGCCTAGGCTGGGGTGCAATGGTATTTTCTCAGCTCACTGCAACCTCTGCTTCCCGGGTTGGAGTGATTCTCCTGCCTCAGCCTCTGAAGTAGCTGAGATTACAGGCGCCGGCCACCATGCCCAGCTAATTTTTGTATTTTTAGTAGAGACGGTTTCACCATGTTGCCAAGGGTGGTCTCGAACTCCTGACCTCAAGTAATCTGCTCTCCTCGGCCTCTGAAAGTATTGGGATTATAGGCACGAACCACCGCGTCCTGTCAATAAAGCCTTTTTCCATCTGGACTCTTCTTTTACATTCACAGCAGCCCAGTGTGGTCAATAGGGTCCCAAGATAGAGAGGAGACTTTGATGCGCAAAGAGGAGGCTCTCTTAAAATGACAGGGACTCCACCTCTTTCCCTGAGACAAGATTGCCTGGAATTTCCAGGACTCTTGGCCCTCGGCTATTTTGTAAGATGTCCATGTGGGCCTTGCCCTCTGTGCTTTTTCTTTTTGGCTGTGAAGAGGAGGGAGGGCAGGAGAACCCGGCAGCGGGGCTGGCGCCATGAGCAGAGCGTCCAGGCTCAGGGCATTGGGGCGGCCTCCTGAGAGGCAGCAGCTACATGGGGAAGAGAGAGTGCTTACGGCTGGAGGCTGCACAGGCCAGGAGCCTCCTGAGTGTTATGGGACTTACTGTCCTCCATGGTGCCTCTGCCTGCCCCTCCCTGCCACGTTCTGATAAATGGAAAGGCGGGTTTGAGGAAAGGACAGGCTTTTCCATCTCTTGAGGGAAAAGTGGGACATGAAAGCCAAACGGGAGCAGGAGGAGAACAGCCTGACCCAGGGACGAGCTGCTTTTCTCTCCACAGCGCAGCTTTGAGCGCAGGGGACATGGAGAAGGACTGGGCTGTCACCTTGCCCAGAACTCTTGGTGGGAGACAAGACCTCCTGAACTGGGTGGTCCCGGGGAAAATGGGCTGGCTCAGAGAACCCAGTGGGCGCCTGTCATGCCACGACTCCAATCCATCACCACCGCCATCTCCATCTCCTCTCCTGCCCCTCCTGCTCTGTCTCACCTCAGCTCTCCCTGTTGTATTTTCCACAACTGCCCAGGGAGCAGCCAGGGGACTCCATTTGGTGCCGCTCCGCTGGCACCCACCAGTCAGCCAAACAGCCTCACAGATGTGGGCAGCTTCCTGGGACCCGGGGTGCCCACTGCAGGTGTTCCTAGCAGGTAGGTATGGACAGTGGGCAGTCTGCTCTAGGGCAGGAGAGCCACCCGAAGCCTGGCCTTGCTCCTCCCAGCCCCATCGGCATCTCCTGGCGGTTCTCCCTTCCCCTCCTCTCCCTCACTCACCCTGAAGAGCAAGGTGGGTCGGCATCTCCTGGCCCCTCACTCAGGTTTGATTGGCCCTGGCAGCTGTGCATGACTTCTTTCTCCCCGTGTCACAGCCTTTTCGGGATGGCCGGCCAGGTCCCCCCACTCCAGTCTGTCACGATGGGCAGCAGCAGCAGCACAGGGCTGGCCTTTGGAGGTGAGTCCTGCCTGTGGAGACCCAGGGGAGGGGACTCTGGACAGGGTGGGAAGGGGATAGATTGAGAGGAATGCTTAGGCATCACAGGATGAAGCAAGTGAGAAAAAAAGTAACCATCTCTCTCTCCCTCTGCTCCCCATTCCACCTGGGCAGCCTTCACCAACCCTTTTGCAGCTCCTGCCGCCCAGCCCCCGCTGCCTTCCACCAACCCATTCCAGCCCAATGGCTTGGCGCCAGGTAAGCCTCCAGCACAGTCCCTTGTCCTGACCGTCTGAGACTCCCAGGGCTCACATTACCCTGCAGTCTCTCACTTAACCCTTCGTCTCATGCTGTCGGGAGAAGCAGACAGCCTGGTTCTTCCCCTGCCCACACGGTGCCAGGCCACCTAGCACCCAGGTCACAGAGCCAGAGTTTAGAATTAGAAGCACACAGACAACTATTTACCGGAGACCGCACTGAAGACTGTTTTAAAGTTGACCAACAGTGGCAACGATTCTCCTGTCTCCAGCCCTCGGCAGTGTCCCTTTGGGCACCCAGCCCCAGTCTCTTCTGTGCCCCGAAGATTAAGCCACCTGAAACACTCACGCTGTTCCCTGCTTCCATCAGTTCCAGGCCTGTGGTCTCCTCTCACCGCAGCCCTCCCCAGCCTCTGCTGCTCTCCCTTCAGACTCATGCTGGCTGAAGCCTCGAGGCCGGGGAGAGAGGAATAAGAGTGAACGCAGCAGAGCTGTGTGGTGGGCCCATTGCTGAGGGTTTCATGGCCCTGATTTAATCTTCACAGCAGCCCTAGGAGACGGACTGTCCCCATTTTAGAGATGAGAGAACTAAGGCACAGACAGCGTTAGAAGTCTGCACCGTTTTTGCAGTTCAGCAGGTAGTGGGAGGCTAGCCCAGTCCTGCACCATGCCCGTGCCTGGAACCACTATGCCCTCCCTGCCACGCACCCCTGGGCAGGGAGAGGGCAGGGTTGTTTGGTGGTGTGAGAAGCAGAAGAGTTCCATGGCTGGTTCAGGGTATTTCCGCTGGGTCCCTCGCTTCTCATGTCAGGGAAAAACTATATCCCATTTTCCCATCTTGGAGGGACTTAGGAAAAACAGTTCTCCAGCCCACCTTCCAGAAGTTCACCTGAACCTCTCATCTCTCACTTCATAGGGCCAGGCTTTGGGATGAGCAGTGCTGGGCCTGGCTTCCCCCAAGCAGTGCCACCCACTGGGGCCTTCGCCAGCTCCTTCCCAGCACCGCTGTTCCCCCCGCAGACCCCGCTGGCTCAGCAGCAGAATGGTAAGAGCTGCAAATGGACAACACCTTTCACCCCGTCCAGTCTCTGCATAGAGATCAGTTAGTTGTCCCTCCGACCTCATCAGAGCCCATGCAGTGCCGTTTCTGACCAGCAGGGGGGGAACAGGGAAGCGCCAGACCCGCCCGGGTACTTCCACTGCTCCCTTCCCTTACTCCCCCAGTTTAGGAGGGCCTCCCTTGCTGTCTGCCTGCAGGAAGGTGGGCTGGTGTCAGCTGAGTGACTGCTCTCGCCCCCCAGGCTCTTCCTTCGGGGACTTAGGATCAGCCAAGTTGGGGCAGAGGCCACTGAGCCAGCCAGTTGGGATCTCCACCAACCCCTTCATGGTGAGTACCCCAGCAGGGGTGCTGTGGTACGGTGAGTGGGCTTTCCCTCTGGGACAATCCTTCCAGAAGAGGCTGATGTGAGGTGGCCCCTGCGCCCCTTCCTCGTGAAGGTCTGCGTTGTCCAAGCCAGGGCTGAGCTTGGGCCTCAGCTCTTCTGGGCGTTGGCATCTCCCATGCCGTTCCATCCCTGTCCTTGGCTTCCTTCTCCCTCACTTTCCTTTTTTTTTTTTTTTTTTTTGGAGACAGTCTTGCTCTGTCTCCCAGGCTTGACTTCAGTGGCCCAATCTCGGCTCACTGCAACTTCCACTTCCTAAGTTCAAGCAATTCTCCTGCCTCAGCCTCCCGAGTAGCAGGGACTACAGGTGTGCACCACCACACCTGGCTAATTTTTGTATTTTTAGTAGAGATAGGGTTTTCCCATGGTGGCCAGGCTGGTCTTGAACTCCTGACCTCAGGTGATCAGCCCACCTCAGCCTGCCAAAGTGCTGGGATTACAGGTATGAGCCACCATGCCTGGCCTCTTCTCCCTCACTTTCCCACTGCCCTCAGCATAGCGATTTTTCAGGAGAAAGGACTCCTGGCTGCCTTTCTTCTAAGCTTTCAGCTCCTCTCCCCTAACTGGAAAATGTGTTGTTCTTTCTTTCCAGACTGGACCTTCATCAAGCCCATTCGCCTCCAAGCCTCCAACCACCAACCCCTTCTTGTAGCACTGTGTTTTTGGGGGACCTCTTCCCTGCCTTCTGGGGCCCTCTGCTCCCTAGAGCTCTGGTGACCACTTACCTGTGGGCGTTTCTATGGGCCTTGGGGATGGTGGAGGTGCTAATGCTTTGCTTGGGGCCTATACGTGAAAGGTGACTGTCCTCAGATTCCACAAAGCCTCTGCTCCCCTCCCTCGTCCCACCCCTACCCAGGCAGGAAGCCCAGGAGGAGTGCGGGCAGGGCCTGGCCTGGAGGAGTGATGGTTGAGGGGAGGGATTTTTTTCAAATGATCAGTTAGGACAGCCCCCTGCTCCCCTGCTCTCACTGCACAGTGCTCCCCCACTCCCAGCCCTGCGGGTGGAGGACATTGCGAGCACAGACTGGCCAGCCTTCCCCCATGGGAACAGCTCTTCCCTTGGCCCAGCTCGCCAGCGCTGTGCTCCTCGTGGATGGGAGTGCAGTGGGGAAGGTAGGGGAAACACGAGGCACAGTGTTGACGGGGCAGTGACCAGACAGTCCCGGGAGCCAGAAGGCCCAGGTGGCCCAAGTGCTCTTGGTGGCCCAGCTTGGCCAGCACATACTTTCCTCCTGCAGTACCCCCTGCTGAAGGGGTCCCCCATTGTTTTGCTTTCCCAGCGCCCAGGATGAGCGGTTTACCTTTGAGCTCACCCGGGCCCAGCTCCTGTCAAGCACTTTAGTTAGCTGTTGGTGTCATGTTTGGATACCAGTGTTTTATATTTATACATAGAGAGGATTTTCTAATATAGCCTATTATATATAAATAGATCTATCTATATGCACATACATATATACACACACCCAGCCGATCTCCCGCTCCCAGACTGCTCTCATATGTGGGGAATGGGATGAATCCCCAACTGTGCCTCGACCATCAAAGCCGGAGCTCCAGGGCTGGAGGGGGGCAGCTATGTGTCCTGACCCCCACCATCCCCAGAGCCTGGGTTTTCCAGGGAAAGGCTTTGTGCAATTGCCTGGTCTTTTTTTTTTTCCTCCATGTGCCTCCCCATCCCCAAATCGCTGCACCAAAGCTCATTGCAGGCAGTGTTAGAAAAGAACTGCATTTGAATGAAAGAGAAAATGGCTCTCATGGTTTTGCTTCAGGCCACTTTGAAGGGTTGCAGGTCAGTCAGCATGACTGATCCTTGACCTGGCTCTGCTGGGCTGGACTGCCTGGGCCAGTGATGATGCTGCCATTGGCCAGAGACAGGGCACAGCTGGTCCCTGTCTAAACAAGGGTCCTGCATTAGCAACGAGAAGCAGCGTGGCGGGAGAGGGGCCGCCACTGCCGGGGACTGGAGTTTGTTTGATGTGAGGGGAATGCCCACTTGGGGTCAGGGTGGGCAAAGGAGGTTGGTGCCAACGTGGAGGTGGAAGTAGGCCCCTCCTGGGTCTGGGACATTCTCTGCCCCAGGCTCTTTCCACCTGGGGATGTTGTGGCAACAGCCGTGGTGTCTGGGCTATTTGTGTGGTGACAAGACAGACCTGGTCAGGGGGTGGGTGGCAAACACCTCACCTGGCTGGGCAGAGGCCGCCTTGCTGTTTGGCCCAAGGACAGGAGAGGCCCCTCCCTTTCCACCATTGCCCTGGCCCCGTGGCCGTTCATTCTTGGGGTTTGTCTGGGTCTTCCACAGAGAGCAGCAAAGAGATATGGGAATTGGGTGATTGGTGTATTTACTCTGAAGATTTTTCTGGAAATACCTCTAGCTGCTGCTATTTTCTAGGCCAGGCTTGGCATCCCTGTCTTTTCCAAAAATCAGGACCCATCTTTTCTGTTCCTGTTCTTCTGCCAGCCTCTGCCCTCCTTCTGTCTCCTGGGTAGTCTCCTGCTTCGCTCCCTGACCTTTGCTTGTTCCATCTCTTCTCTTTCTCCCCTCTTCGCCACCCTAGATTATTTCTGTGTCCCTCTACCTAATACTCTTACCAGTTCTTTCCTTTCTGCTTAGAGCTGGAGGGAGGGCAGCTGGAATCTGTTATGGTGTATTAGGGGGAGGAGCCTTTCTGTTCTTCCCCCACCAGCTTCCATCACCCTTGCCTTATGCCAGGAGCATCGAGGTTTGGAACTGAGGCTAAACCGAAGGGCTTTCCCCCGCTTCTGTCACCCCATACTGTGTCCCGGCGTCTCTTCACTGTCTGGGTCCAGACCTGGGTCCTCCCTGCAGACTCCCTCCCCTCCAGCCCACAAGGACTCCAGCCTGCTCGCTGGCCAGAGCTAGATGAGCAGTAAGAAGTTAACGCCAGGTCAGCCTCAGGCCCCAGGGTTCTTTGGGCACAGGCTGACACTAGGAGCTGCACTCCTTGGCTGGGGACAGCCTCAGCAGCTCAGGCTCCAGCACAATGAGCCACCTCTCCTGGAGAGTAGCAAAGAATGGAGAAAGGCCTGGCCTGAGAGGAAATGGAGAAAACATTGCCTGGTAGCTGCAGATTCAAACCCACTGCACACACCACGGGGCTACAGTGACTTGCCTGGGCTCACACCAGTCTTCTGACCGTGCTCTGCTGACAGCAGTCCTCTAGCATGGCCCCAGCATTCAGCCGGTCACCTGTGGGCCATCCCCATGTGTGAGGAAGCAGGAGTCAGCCCCCAAGTGTCTCCACTTTGGAGCTTGCGGGTCAGACCTGCGGGCCAGGAGATGGGAGCAGGGCTGAGGGTAGGGGCTGAAGGTGTGGCTCTGTCCCTGTGTTGCCTTCCACAGAGGGGCAAGGCCTCAGGCTGAGGAAGGAAGGAAGGGCACGCTGGAACAGCCTAGTCTCTTCCCTGTGGATTCCCCCAACTCCATAACATTCCTCCATAGGGGCTGAGAACGCAGTGCCCCGTCCCTGACGGATGAAAAGTGTACCCTTCAGGTCGGGAGAGGCAGAGCTGAGGTTCTGCCACTTCCTGTCCCTGGGGAGCCACTCAAGTTACCAGGGCTACCCGGCTGAAATAAATATTTTCAGGGTAGGGCCAAGGGCAGTGTGTTGCCAAGGCAACTGATGTAGGCCAGTTGCGTGACTCCAGGCTTGTCCTGGTACTCAGTGGGTCCGATCACCTGGCACTGATCACCTGGCATTGATCAGCACCCACCCCACCCCTGAGGCTTGCCCAGACACCAGACCCTCAGATCCCTGCTCTTCCTGCCTTTCCTGCCCATGCATCACCTAGCACCCAAGGTTCAGTGACAGGGTGGTTTGGAGCTGGTCACTGTCATAGCAGCTGTGATTTCACAAGGAAGGGTGCTGTAGGAGGACCTGGTTGATGGGGAATGGGAAGGGGAGGGTATAAAGAGATCTTCCTCAGGTATCTTCAAGCCTCGGGGAGTAAAAAAGGCTCCTGGGCCAGGAGTGCAGCAGGGACAGGGGCCCTTTGGTGGCCTCCTTGAGGCAGTAGCAGGACTGGGCGGGGGAGGGGCATGCACATGTCTTTTGTGACCCTGCCCCTTTGCACATGGTGCCTGTATCAAGGCCCTTGGCCATGTGGGGCTATGGCCTTGAACACAGTCCAGTTTTGCTGGCCATTTACGGAGCAATCGCCTCTCTGTGGCCAACACCTACCACTGGGCAGTTGCCAAGCCCCGCCCCGCGCCCCCCCACCCACCGCCCCACACCACACCACCTGTGCTGCGAGCCTCTCCTGCACCCCAGTGGGGCTTTGGCTTACCAGGGGTCACCTGGAACAAGCCCTGGGTCCCACCTGCATGCTGGCTGGGTGCTGGTTGGTTCCCTGCGTCTCCCTCTCAGTGTGACCTTGGAATAGGTGTGCAAGGACCCCAGCTCCATGTACATGGCACTTGTCTCCCATATTCCCACTCACGTGGGGCCCCTTCCCCAGGAAGCAGGAAGCATGGCGGGAAGCCCTGCCCGCCCTGCTCAGGCTGCCCTGGCCCTTGCACTAGGTCTGGGTCCTTGCTTCTGTTCTCTTGTTATGTCTTTGTCATCTCTTGTCCCTTCCCTGAGGGAGCTCCTCCCTGAACGCCATCTTTATGGGGGCTGCACGTTGGCCTCTCCTCCCTGACTCTCAGCTTCCCCCTTTAGGCACCTTAGTCGCCTTGGGTGATATCTCAGGGTCCTCTAAGTTCCCACCAGGTGTCACCTGCTGGTTTGTCTTGTGCACCTTCACCCCCATCCCCCTGGGGGGGGGCGGTCAGTGGTCCTTGGATCAGAACTGAGTGCAAAAATGTCCAGTCCCCAGCCCAATTGCAATTTTTTCAAGAAGCAAAGGGTACCTCCACCAGGAAGTCCACACATCCATGGTCAGAGCCTTCAGGTGGTCCTGGGGTGGCATTTTTGGGCAATGGTGGTGAGGAGGGGCCCAGAGCAATGGGGCAGCCCAAGGGGGTCTTCCTGAGAGATGGCCTCTTCCTCTGAGGTCTCCTTCAGTGGCCACCTGACTGGGTTCCAGTGGGTATGGTCTGTGCACAGGGAATACCCCCTGAACCTACTTATTCCAAGTCACCTCCTATCACCCCAAACCCTCAAGAAACTGAATCTCCAGCTCAGAAATAATCCAGCGTAGTGTTCAGTGACGGTGGCTCCTTGGGTTACTTGGAAGGGCACAAAACCACTCCTGGATGGGAATGGGTTACACACAGGAAGGACACCTATAGGCCGAGGGGGGCGCGGCAGGAGCCGGCAGGGTGCGTGGAGGCCCCGCTCCACCGCCCTCTAATCGCCAGCGCCACCACCGCTGCCACAAGTCCGATCACACTGGCCTCACACGGAGGCTTTCTCGGTTGCCCGGACGACGTGTCCGGACCGCAGTCAGCTGATCGGTAGAGACGCCCCCACGCTCCCTGCCCCTGTAAAGGCTCAGTCTTGGGGTCGAGGCCGCCTCTCTTGGACTTCCCTACTCAAATTCCAGCGCCCGGGCGACGTGAGGATTCGTCTCGTGGGGTGGGGGTTCCGGAGCGGTCGGCTGAGGGAGGGAGGTAGTGGGGAGCCCAGGCCACGGGCAGCAGCCACCGGGACACTCGCTGTGCGCAGAGCCCTTGCCCCAAACTTCCAGTCAGGAGCCCAGGAGAGACGCTGGACATTAAGACGCTGGACTCCCTGCCCGAGTTCACCAACTCACCCCCACCCCTGCTGGCCTCTCTCCGCGCTCAGGACACGAGACCCAGCCATGTCTGCCTCTCCTGCAGCCACTTTATTGCCTTCGGCCCTGAATGAAGCCCACGGGCGGCGGCCCCGGGGAGAGCCGGGAATGGCCGCCATGCCCCTCAGCCAGCCGCTGCCCTGGGCCTGCCTCTACTCTGCCGCCACCTGCGCGCAGACCCGCCGCGTCCCGTCTTCTGAGAGCGAGCAGAAGTTTCGCGCGGGCCGAGCGCGGCCCCAGCACAGCCTGAGCCTAGCGGGCGCGTCCACCATCAACAAGCGCGCAGACGCGCCAGCACCACCTGATCCTCCTCTACACCCACGACAACAGCCTGCGCGTGGCGGCGGCAGGCGAGGCGGAGCAGCAGGCGTGATACAACGCCCTGCTGGAGGCGCGCGGTGCCGCCCAAGCCCCGGCTTGCCAGGGACCCCGGGGGCTTGTGGCTGTGGTTTCTCCCTGGCTCGCCCCTGCCCCAGGTCACCGAAAGTTCAAGCATTAAAGGGTTTGCAGGTTTAGAGTTCTCCCGGCACAGGCCCGGCGCGGTAGCTCACGCCTGTAATCCCACTACTTTGGGAGGCCAAACGCGGGCGTATCGCCCGAGGTCAGGATCGCCTGAGGTGAGGAGTTCGAGACCAGCCTGGCCAACATGGTGAAACCCCCATCTCTACTAAAAATACAAAAATTAGCCGGGCGTGGTGGCACATGCCTGTAATCCCAGCTACTCAGGAGGCTGAGGCAGGAGAATCGCTTGAACCAGGGAATCGGAGGTTGCAGTGAGCCAAGATCAGCCACTGCACTCCTGGGTAACAGAGCTAGACTCCGTCTCAAAAAAAAAAAAAAAAAAAAAAAGTTCTCCGGGCACAATGAGGCCCAGGCCCTCAGGGACCCTCCTATGAGCATCTTCAGACTCCCCATTCCTGAGACCCCAGCTTCTGCGGCCCAGTCAAGTGGCCTGAGCCATCAGGGGTGTCTGCAAGAGGGGATCGAGCAAGCAGCCCTCAAGACCTTGGCAAGGCTGGGGGCAGCAGCCTCCTACCCCAAGGGGCAGGGTGGGGGCTACATAACCAAGGGAGTGGGGAGTGACTACGAGCCCATGGGGACCATTCCTACAAGTCTGGGCTCAGGAGCCTGGACCCAGGCCAAGGAGCGCCCATCACAATGTGGGGGCTGGCTGGGGACGGGTAGGGGCTCAGCGCTGCTCCTGCCCCCCTCGGAGCTGGCTGGGGAGGAAGTGTGCATCAAGTTATCGGCCCGAGAGCCTCCGAACAGTCACTGCCAGGCCAGAGCCCCTGACAAGCTGCCTCAGCTATGTTGACCTGGACCTGGTCCTTTCTCTGGGGGCACTTGGTGGCGTCCCCAGGGCCTGCACGCTCCACCCGCGTAGCTACACGGGCATTGAGTTCTAGAACTCCCTGGAGGCGCCGGTGAGGAGACCTGAGACCCAGGCAGCTCTCTCCTGCTGACTGATTGGGGGGTGGCTGAGGCAGGGATAGGAGGGAGTGGTATTGTAATGCCCCCACCCTGCCTCCTAACCCCCCACCACGGGAGGGGCTTTAAGACCCAGATGCCACCTCGGACAAGTGACCTGCAGGGCAACAAGCTGGGGTCTCTGCCCGCTCTGTCCCTTCCAGCTGTGGCACCTAAGTCTTGAGTAGGAGGTTCTCCAAGAAGTTGGGCTATTTTATGGGAGAAAATTCTAGAACCCATCCCCGCCCAAACCACCAAAACTACACACTTTGGGCTTTCTCAGCTGAAGCCCTGATCCTCTGTTTCTCTGCAGAGTTCGTGCAAGAATCTCTAGAGTCTCAGGTCGGCTGTGGTGGGGCCACCTTTCCGTCAATGGTGACATTCATGTGGACTGGCATCCTCCCCCACACACCTGCAGTGCGTTCTGTGTCTCCTCTGAGCCAAACAACTACCCCACCCAGCCCAGAACTGAACTCCGGGAGCCCCAGCACAAGAGATGTGGGAGCACAAGAGATGTGGGAGCACCAGGGATCTTACCGCTAGTGCCCCCTAAAAGTGAGGTGCCCCTACTTACTCCCCCACCTGGCAGTTTATGGCTCCTTGTTTCCTATAAATTCAGCTCTGCACTGCCATGCAGACCACCCACTCACTCATTAAAGGGGCTCTGTCTGGTCAGCCCAGAAACGCCTTAGGTCATGGATACCCCCGTCCTCCGCCTAACACAGCAGGGGGCGATCTATAGTGGGACAGAAAGAGACCCCATTCCTGCCTCTATGCCCTACTCTGCTCCCAGCCACACGGAGCCTGTTTTGCAAACCAACACTGCTTTATTGTCAACACAACCAGCCCACTCTGCCCTGAGAAGGCTATGGACAATGGGTGTCTGGGGTCTGTGGGAGAGAGAGGTCAGCACCCTGAGAACTGCCGGGGCTACCACAGGGGCTTGGTGGGTCAGAGGTAGGGTCTGGGGGGCCAGCAGGGGGCGTGGCAACCACGGAGGAGCTGCGCCTGGGTTCCCCCTGGCTCATCTGCAGCAGGCCAGTGAGAGCGATCAGCTCCGGCCCACTGAGCCAGGCGGTGGAGGGGCCCCGGGAGGGTGACAGGCGGGGGAGGACCCAGGCAGACATAATGGGGGGCGGCGGCAGCAGTTTCAGGGAGCCCATCACCTGAGGAGAGAGAATGGGACGTGTTTCCTGCCAGGCACGCCTGGAGGCTGGTGTAAGGCCAGGGAGGGGGAAGAGCTCTCACCTGCTGGGGGGCCTTGGACAGGTACAGGGGGACACGCTGCCCCCGGGGCAGCAGAGGGTCCGAGAGGAAGACATCTTCACAGCACATCACCGGGAACCCTAGAAGGAAACACCACTAGGGTGGCAGGCTGTGGGCTCCCACCCCTGGGCACTGGTTCCGGGAGGAGTTGGGGCAGCCTTGCACCCCCAGAGGACCAAGGGAGGTACCTGCATCTGGGTGCACCTGCTGTCCATTCCAATGCCCTGTGGCAGGGGCCACGGGCCTGAGACCCCTGCCCGAGGCTGCCTCATACAGCGGCCAGAACGAGGGGTGACACAGCGTCCGGCCTGAGAACGAGGCTCCTGAGCTACAGTTGGCCCCCTAGGGTGAGGAGGACAGACCACTGGAGCCTCAGGCCACCGCGCAGCTCCCTGAACACCCCAGCCAGCCCCACAGGTTTGCCCTCACAACTCACCCACACTGGCTGAGGGCCCGCTTTCGCTTCGTACTTGGGGTCCCAGGGCGCTAGTGGAGTCATCCTCGAGGGGTCCACCTCCCAGGCCACCTGGGGGGAACGGGGAGCTGGGGGGACACTTGGGGATTAAAACAGGCTCAGAGTCAGAGAGGCTCTTGGCGGTAGTAGAGGCAGCAGGACCCGTCCTACCTGGGGCTCCCGGGGGCTGCTCAGTGGCTGGGCCTGGCGGGTGGTGGGGCAGCGGCAGCTGCTCTGTCCGGGTCCAGGAAGGGCTACGGGATGGGGGCCGTGGGCTGGAGGGGCAGGGACTGAGGCTGCAGTCACACTGCCCCCACGCACCTTCCCCTGGAGCCCAAGGGTGCCTGGTGCAAGGGAGGCCGAGGGACCCAAACTCCGGCAAGGACAATGGAGAAACCTCCGCAGAGCGCGTAGTGAAGGCATGGAGGTTCCCAGTCGTTGTCCCCCCGCGGCTCCGGCCGAGCCCCTCACCTGTCCCATGGGGATGTCCCCAGATCCCTGGGGGCGTCCGCTCCGGAGCTCCAGGGCTCGCCCTGGTCCTTGCCCGCCGCAAGGCCTGGTCCCTCGGGCGCCTCCTCCGGGCCCACGCCCCACCGTGGCGGCGACCAGGGCAACATTCCGCGTTCCGGAGCGCAGGGCTGCACCGCAGTGTCCCCGCCGCCCGGCCCGGCCCGCTCAGCCTCCCTCTAGGCGCGGCGCGAACCAGCCCTCCTGGCGAACCCACCCTAGAGGCCTCGCGGCGACGCCGGCGCCCTGTGCGTCTCCCGGCCACGTGGCGCGTGCCCCCGCCGGGCTCCCGCGGGCGCCCCCTGGCGACCGGGCGGTGAATTCCGGATACAGAGGCCCCCCCACAATCCCGCGACGCGCGTGCTCTCAGACACAGTTACACCTGAGGGCCACCCAGAGGGCTTCTGGCTTCTGTTTATTGCAGCTGACACGACACCTGCGACACCCGTGGTCCTTCCACCCAGACCCTCGGTCCCAGAGGCAGCCAGGCCCGAAGGCCAAGGGGGCCCAGGCCCAGGCCGCCCTCACCGAGTGCTTGTCTCAGAGCGTGCAGCCCAGGCGCGTCTTCTGCTCCCGGGGTCCCGGGCGGGGTGGGCCCTGTCCCCACCTTCACCCCTAAGGCCGGTCCAGCAGGGCGTGGACGACAGCAGCGATGTAGGGGAGGCCCCTTCCCGGGGCCCCCTCCTCTTCCAGGATGTGGTGGGGCTGGCACAGTGACTCCTGGGGGAAGGGGCCGGGTTAGCTTCCCCAGGGGGCCCCCCGTGGCTTCCGGCCTGTGGCAGGGGGTCGGGAGCAGACCCGAGCATCACCATGCGCTCAGGGTTCGGTGACAAATGAGACGCAAGAAAGCTGTCAGCGATAACAGAAGGGAGATGACACGGGGGGAGGCAGAGGCTCCGGGAGCATGAGAGGCTGGCATCTCAGAAGGGCGATGCTGGTGGGCACAGAGCCATGGCCACAGCCACCGCCACGCGGAGCAGACGCGCGCACACATACACACACACAGGCAAGGCGGTCACGGTCTGTACAGTTTATACACAGAGACAGGGACCCGGCCTGGGTCCCACACCCCTACAAATATAGATCCTCTCTACAAAATAGAGATAATTTAGCCCCCGCATAGCAGCCGTTGGGGGGGGAAGGGGAGGGCACAGGAGGAAAGGGGAGACTCTAGCTCCTGCCACCCCTCACGGGGCACAGAGGGCAGGGGCAGGGCTGGCGGGGACATGAAGGCACCGTCAGCACTGAGAGGTGGGGATTCATGGGGCTACCGGAGGGAGGCCAGAGGCTGGGGGCCCAGGGTCTGGGGGCACCAGAGTGGGGCCTCTGAGGTCAGTGTCTGTGAAGGGGGTGCACTAGTGTCTTTGGTTGGGGCTGAAGGCACCGCAGGTGGGGTTGGGTGGAGCAGGGGCCTTATAAATAGAAGAGGGGAGGGAAAGGGGTAAGGGAGGGCTGATTTTGGGTCCTAGGAACCCAGGAGCCGAGTGTAGGAGACATAGAGCAGCAGCATGAGGACCACGTAGAAGATGACGAAGCCGCCCAGACCAGAGGGGGGCCAGAGGGGCGGTAGGGCCTTGCCCCCCACCCGCTTCACGGCCTCCAGCACGGTCCGCAGCCCCCGGGCAGTGCCCTGGAGGAGATCCAAGGGCGAGCACAGGTCAGCCTGGGGGAGAGGAGAGCAGATGGACAAGGACAAGGGACAGATGTCAGCAGCAGCAGCAGGACAGTCCCTCCCACCCCTGCCCTCACGTGCTGGGGCCAGAACCACGCCCACATGCCGACGTGCTGGGCAGCGGGAGTGCAGGACAGGCAACATGCAGGGCAGGGGGCATGCAAAGCAGGTGACATGCAGGACAAGATGGGGCCTGCAGGGCAGGGGACGTGTAGGACAGGCGACATGCAGGGCAGGGGGCATGCAGGGCAGGGGGCATGCCGGGCAGGGCAGGGGCAGCCTGTGCCTCCATCTGAGAGCAGACACCCGCTGCGAATGGAAGCCCGCCATCCATGCCACACGCTTGGCTGAGCCCGGCATGCCACCACTCTTTAGAAAGCGGCCCCCATACCTCAGGCACTCCCATTTTTCGACAGGCTTCTAGGAAACTCTCCACATTCTTCCGAGCCTTGAGGGCACTGAGTTTTGGCTGGGGTGGGTGAAGGAAGAAAACGTGGTAAGGGAGAGGCCACAGGTGCCCCAGCCCATCCCCCACCTCCTCCCCGGCCCCAACTGACCACAGCAGGAGAGGGCACATGGATGAAGGGCACGGAGCGCGGCCGTAGCTGGTTGGCCAGTTGGCACAGGATGACCCCGCTGGCCAGAGCCTCGGCCAGGTCCTCAGGCAGGGGCCGCTGCAGCCGGGACTCAAGGACCTGGGAGTGTAGACCGCATAGAGCAGGGGTCAGGGAAGGAGAGGTATCTGGGAGGCAGGGAGAGTGGGGGGCTCAGGGCCAGCAGGGAACTTGTGCCTGTCCCCTTCTGTCCTCAGGGGAGGTGCCAGAGTGGGCACAGAGGATGTGGAGGGAGGCTGGTCCCAAGGACAGCAACACAAGGAGGTGCCCGGCCCAGGTCCCTGCCCACACAGCTCCCAGCTCTGCTCACCTGGCGCAGCTGAGTCATTAAGTCCTTCTCATCTGGAATCTGGGGGGACCGCCGAGGTCTCAGGACAGAGTCTGGTGAGGAAGGGCCTAGGAGAAAAAGGGGGGCATGGGGCCGCCTCCACTGCTCACCACTGACTCTGTAGCTGGGTCCCAGTGGCCTGGCACCCACACCTCCTGCCTCTGCTTGTGGGATTTTCTTTTACTTTTTCATGGAGATGGGGTCTCGCTATGTTGCCCAAGCGGGTCTTGAATTCCTGGGCTCAAGCAATCCTCCCACCTTGGCCTCCTAAAGTGCTGCAATTACAGGTGTGAGCCACCACACCCAGCTTATTTGTGGGATTTTCAACACAAAGGTACAACAGACCCAGAGGGCTCCCAGGGCAGAAGGGTGATGTAGCAGTTGCTGCTGGCAAGCACTGGGTCAGCACTGGGGAGGGCGGGACACCCACCTGAGCCACTCTGAGAGGAGGAACGGAAGAGGAAGCTGTTTGGTCTCTGAATGGAGCCAAGTGGCCTCGGAGCAGGTGCTGTTGCTGGGGCCAGAACCAGGGACACAGCGACAGGGACAGATGAGACAGGCATCCCCTCTGTGTCCCTCTCTCCCAACCAGCCCTCACCAACACAGGCCCCATCCTCCTCCCAAAGTCCCTGTCCCACCTGGTATAGCTATGGGAAGGGGCTCTTGGGAGGCGGGGGCAGGGGCGGGGGCTCCCTGCCCCACTGTAGCTCCCGCTTGGGAGGCACTGGACTTAGGCGGGCCACTGAGGAGAGACAGAAGGGAGTTAGAGGGATGGGCATGGGAAGAGGAGTGGGGACCGGATGCTGGCAGGAAACCTACTTGTGCGTGGCTTGAGTGCACATGGCGGTGGCTCCTCCCGCAGCAGACCTGAGCCCTGACTTCAAGAGGCTGGAACAAGGAGAGGTGAGGTCAGCTAGCCCCGAGGCAGAACGGCTTAGTGGGGCTTGGTGGCCCCATTTCCAGGGCTCAGTGTCTGGCAACAGCCCCAGGTGGCCCTGGGTCCCACCTGTCCTTCCTGGGGGCCCCCCATGCCCCACTCTGCTGCTGCTGCCGCCGTTCCCGCTCCTGCCACAGCTGCAAGGTGTCCGGGCGCCGCCGCTCCTCCCCTGCCGGCTCCTCCCGCCTGAGGGACCAAGACAGGGTGAGAGGGGCAGACCCTGGGGTCAGGGAAGGAGGGGTCTGGGGGGTGGGAGGATCAGGCAGTGGCGTCGGTTTCAGGGCTTGGGATACCTGCTGCTTGGTGCCCTCTCCCTGTCCCCTGCCCCGGGGCTTAATTCGGGTGGTCGCTGCTCCTAAGGAGAGAACAGCAGAGCAGCTGAGAGCAGGCCTGTGCCCACGCCTGCCCTGTCCCCTGATCTAGCTCCCCTCCCTTGGGAGAGGCACAGCTGGGCTCTCACCTCCACAGTGCCTCGATCTTCATCCTCCCCCGGGACGTGGCTGTCGATGAAGTCAATCTGCTCAGGGTCTCCGTCCGCTGGGGAGGCCAGCATGTCAGCAAGTGAGTGGGGACCCTGGTCCAGCCCAGCTCCCAGCCAGCCCTGCTACTCACCTGAGCCGTCCTCCCTGCGTTCTCTGGGTCCCCGGGGCTCCCGGGCCAGCTCTGAGATCCGGAATGACAGCTCTGAAAATTCATCTGTTGACTGTAAAGGCAGAGGCAGAGATGGGAGATGGCCTCTCTGCACATGGGGGCATGGGGCCTGGGGGGTCCTGTGTGGGACTAAGCTCAGGGTCTTTGCTGAGCCAGCCCTTCCCTGGGACGCTGGGCAGAGGGAAGGAAGAGGACAGCTGCAGCCTCTGCCTGGTACCCTGCAATTTGGAGGTCCCCAGTTCGGAGGTCCCCAGTTCAGAGGTCCTCTCCCAGGGCTGACACCCCCAATTTCCCATGGACAGGACGCCCTCACCTCATTTCCAGACCACCTCTTGCTGCCACTATCAACGCTGTGGAAGCCTGAGTCCAGCCCGCCATCATACCGATGTCCCGGAAACAGATCCTCTGCAGGACTGGGGCCAGCCAGGGACATCTGGTCAGCCTGATGCTGGACAGCAGCCCCCCATTCTCCCAGAAAGCAGGGGGTACCTGGGGCCAGGAAGGGGCATTCAGTATCCCAGGGCTTCCTTCCTCCCCACCTAGGACTTACCAGGGACTGAAACTCGGGGGCCGAGAAGGGGCCAGGTCCCCCAGGGCTGACCCACGCTGCCCAGCTTCTGTGGACAAGTACTTGAAGATGTGAAGTTTCCCCTTCAGGCAGACCTGTGTGCGCGGCAGCACACGCTGGGGAGCTGGCAGGGAGGGCAGCTCCCCGGATCCTGCTCGGCTGCCCAAGGGGACCAACCCCACTCCTGCCCAGCCACACCCCTGTCCCTGTGGCCCCCCGGGCCCCCGCCTCACCTGGGCAGGCGGGCTCTGCAGGGGGTTGCTGTCCAGCAGAATGACTTGCAGGTGCCTGAGGCGGCAGAAGGAGACCGGGATGCGGGAGATGCGGTTACAGGAGAAATCCAGGCGGACCAGAGGGAGGTCCCCCAGCTCTGGAGCAGGTGGGCAAGGGAAAAGTCAGGAGCGTGCTCAGGCCTGGGGCCTCATGCTCACTCCCTTGCCCTTGGCTCTGGCTGGCCAGTCACCCAGGGCCTAGCACAGCCTCTCCCCTGGGTGGCTCAAGTCATTCCCCGGAACAACCTCCCTGCTCCTCTTTCCACACGATTCTGGTCCACAGTCTAAGCGAGCTTCCCTGAGAGGGCCCATCCGGACATTGGCTTAGCCTCCACGGGAAGGCCCATCGGATGTCAGGTCCCGCCCAGCCCTGTCTGACCCTCCTCGTCTCCTCGCCTGCCCACTCCACACTCGAACCCACCCTCCATTTTCAAATGATCAGCACAAGACACAAACCCTGCTCAAACGCCTTCTGTGACATGCAGCCAGGGCTGCCGATGTTGAGCAGGTTGTGCCTGCCCGGGAGTCCCCTCTCCCCAGCATGGGCCCAGCACTGCACCCTATGTGAAGCGCTGCCTGTCCACAGGGAAAGATGCCTTTTGCTCATCTTAAAAAGGCACAGTCTGGATTCATGGTGGCCCTAGGCACAGAATAAAAACCACAGCTCCCTAACCCAGCACGAGCAAGGCTTCCATGACCCGGCTCCACGCATGTTTCCCACCTCACTGCCCACCCCTCCGGGCCCTTGGCTTCTGAGCCTTCCCAGGTGCTGTTTGCTCAGTTGGGAGAACTCCATTTTCCCCATCCACGCATCTTTCAAGGTTCAGCTCAAGCGTCACCACCTCGGTGGATCTTTCCAGACATCCCAGATTCATGGAACTCATTGCTCTTGCCTCTGTCCCCAGGGCATCTTGCTGGGATTTTTTTATGGCCCAGAGAGAGCCCTTCCTACCACTTTTGACTGGGAAGGAAGAGGGCAGGTGCACAAAGGGTCAAGGAGTGGGGAGACAGGGAAAGTGGATGACCACCTCACTCCCTCCTTGTTCTTCAAAACCAAGTTCACACTCGAGCACGGCACAGGCCTTCCTGCCATACCTGGCTCGCCTTCCTAACCCCATGCTTTGCACATGCTGGGTCCTCTGCCGGGATGCAGAAGGGTGGGGAATTCTCCTTCAATGGCTGGCTCCCACCGTGCCTGCACCTCCGGTGAAGTCTTCCCCAAGCCCCCCAAGCAGAGTCCAGTGCCACCTCCCCCTAGCCCCCGTCCGGGGAACCTGCCCACAAAACTTCCCTATGACTGTTTGTCTCTCCTCATGAAGCCATTAAATCCCTAAGAGATGGCCCCAGATCTTAGTCACATCACCCGCATCTACCTGGTCCCAACCTAAAACATAGGAATCATACACACACACACACACACACAGACACAAACACAACACAGACATAAACACACACAACACACACACATACACAGAGACAAACACACACATACACAGAGACAAACACACACAGACACAACACAGACACAAACACACACGCACAGACATAACACACACAACACAGACATAAACACACACAACAGACACACACACAACACACGCACACAGACATACACATACACATGCACACAGACACACGCAAAACATAAACACACACAACACACACAGACACAAACATATGCTGCTGCCTGCTGAAAAGGCATGCCTGCTTTGGAGTGGCATTATAGTGAGCTCATTAAATCGGCCCCTTGGGCCCTGGCACTGGCCCCGGCATCTCCGGGCAGAGTGGCAGAGCATCCCCTGACTCAGGTGTTTGAGAGCCCCTGCTGGGGTGAGCAGGGCTGCTAGGTGACCTTGAAGGCCCCTTCTGACCTTGCCAGTCTACCTGGAGCTGATGCACCCACCAGCTCCCCTTCTGTGCCTGTGTCCACATTTCTAACAGAGCTGCTCATCTGCGCCCTGCCAGCCTCAGAGGGTCGCTAGGTCAAGATCAAATCAGATTGTTTATAGTTTGTTTTATATACTGCAAAAGGAGAACCTGGGCAATGAAAGTGTAATTCTCCTCTGAAGATTCCTGGCCTGTAACTTTTTCAAAGTACATACACTGTTGTGGACTGAATGTGTCCCCCAAAAAGTCCTGTGCTGAAATCCTAACCCCCAAAGTGATGGGATTAGGAAGCGAGGCCTTAGGGAAGGAATTGCGATCATGAGGGTGGAGCTCTCATCAGTGAGATTTGTGCTCCTTTATCAAAGGGGCTCCAGAAGGCTGTCTCTACTCTCCGCCATCGGGGAGTACCACGAGGAGCTGGCAGTCTGCAGCCAGGAAAAGCGCCCCGCCAGAAGCTGACCGTGGAAACACCCAGATCCTGAACTTCAACTTCCAGAACTGTGAGAAATGAATGCCTGCCATGTATAAGCCACCTGGCCTGCAGTGTTTTCGTTACCGCAGCCTGAGCCGACTGGGACGCACACGCAAACACCTCCTCTCCAGTTCTTCATTCTCCTCACCTTCGGGCAGTGTACTGAGCTGGTTCCTCCGGACATTGAGGTCCCGCAGGGAAGAGAGGCCACACAGCTCCGCAGGCAGGGACTGGAGCTCATTGCTGCTCACGTCCTGGTATCAGGAAGGCAGTGGGAAGGGGCCATGAGACCAGGCCCAGCAGAACCCACCCTCCTGTCTCTGTCTTTGCTCCAGGCCCTCCCCAACCTCCCCCTAGAAGGTTCCTGCTGCCTGGCTCAGGGGTCCCTTTCCTGGCCCTGTCCCCATCCTCACAAGCTGTCGCAGGCTTCCCAGGGTGCCGATGTCAGGGGGCAGGGCTCCCAGCTTGTTGTTGCTGACGATGAGGACCCTCAGGGGCAGCTGGCAGATGTAGGGTGGCAGCAATGACAGCTGGTTTCGGCTGTGGAAGGGAGAAAGGCAGCGGGCTGGCTCCCCAGGCATGGCATCCCAGCACTGCCATCCTCTCAGGGTCACCGAGAGGGTTACTCAGTAGTACTTGAGACTGAGAAAGACATGCTCCCACGCGACCCTGGCTCGGCCTCCCTACCTGAGGTTGAGGTAGGTGAGGGCTGTGAGATTCCCCAAGGCTGGGTTCAGGCATCTCAGGCAATTGTGGTAGAGGCTCAGGCCCTCCAGGGACACCAGCTGGCACGCCGCCTCGGGCACCTCGGGAAACCGGTTCCGGGACAGGTCTAGGGAAAGCAGGTGTCAGGGGAGAGTTGTGGAAAGGCCCAGCCCCGGACAGGACCTTGAGTCCCCCCTATAGCCGGCTGCCCACTCCCTAACGTCCACACCTAAAGATTCAAGGCCATCAGTGTGGCCTCCCGGGAGAGATAACAAAGCCTTCTGCCAATGGGAGCACATTCCAGGCATGACCAGAATGGCAAAGGGAAGGCAAAGGCCTTCATGTCACTGGGCTGGAGAAGCCTCAGACTTGGGGGTTGGGGAATGCTGCAGTGTCAATGGAGGGCTATCCTGGAGAGCAGCTGGAGTCTCTAACTCCTGCGGTTCCTGTTCGGAGATGCCAGGTGAGGTGAACAGAAGGTCAGAGGTGGGGTTGGTGATCATGGGAAAACAGTAAAGTGAGGGGCTGGGGGGCTCCCGGAGGGAATATGGGAAACCCCTGGGGCAACCTGCAGGGAGAGCCCATTCCTCCTCGGGGCCCTTCTTCCCTACTCCAGTGTGTTTTCAACAGGGGAGAAACCACAGGTCACTCTATCTCGGTTCTAGAGATTAAGTTCCCGACACCGAACGAGATTTTTGCCAGCCCCAAGGACCAGCAAGCCAGGTCCAAAGAACTACAAAGTTACCGATTCCCAAGGGCTGGGAGGGAAGGGCAAGAAGACCTGGTTGGAGATGGGAGCTGGAGTTCCCAGGTCCCTCCCATCTGGGCTCCCCTGGCCTGGGGCAGGCATCCTTACTACCCTCTGCCAGCCCTAGCAGCCCCGTTCTGCTTCCTCTCTTACTGACACAGACTTCAAAAGATCAGCAACTGTGTGAGCATCTCAGGCATGGCGAGGGTGGAGAGTGTGGGTAGGGGCTGGGGTCTACTATCGCTCTCTTATCTGGAGCACCGCCTTGCTATGCAGAGGCTGGCAGCCTTGGGATTCCCTCTAGCATGGAGCCACTAACGGCTTAGACCTGGAGAAGCCTGCCTTTCTGTTTCCTCAGCCCAGCCTGTCCTGGGAGGGGCCCAGGGCCCGCAAAGGGGAGTCCCAGGCCACAGACCTGGTGAGCTTCTCCGAGGGCCCTTCTCAGGGAGAGGCAGGCCAGCAAAAGCAAGCAGAGCAGAGGAGAAGCAGGGTATATCCCCCAAGGAAATGAGTCTTGTGACAGGAAATGAAGTAGAAACAATTTGTCAGGTTCTGTCCCTCGTAGGCCCCGTGTTTACCATGGTGGATGACAGCCTGATGCCCCAGGACCCCTCTCTCTTCCTCTCTGCCCAGCCCTGGTACACAGACAGAAGCCCTGGCCTGGGAGATAACCGTTCTGGAGAGGGTGGGGGGTCGGCATCTGCCTCTCCCAGCCTCGCCTCCACCTGCCCGCTTTCTCTGCTCTCTGCGTCGGCAAATGTGTTTGTGTGTGTGCATGTGGACGAAGGGGGTGGAGACCGAGTTCTCAGAGTTCTGATGGGGTAGGCGGTGGCGGGGACAAAAGCTAGGAGCGGAAGGGAGTTCAGGCAGGAGGCAGGGCACAGGGGGCACAGGATGTGGTCTGGGAGAGAATGAGCTGCACTTCTCTTTTGCAAGACGGCCCCTCCCCGCCACCTCAGGATTCTTCCTACTATCACCCCGGGGAGCCTACTCCAAGGGAGATCAGGGACCCAAGACATAGGAACCACACAAGGAAGACACTCAGAAAGAGATGGGAGACAAGAGGGAAAGGCTCAAGGCAGTCCGGGCAGCAAGGCACTGATGCTTTTCGTCTGCTTGGAGGGCGAGGAGAGATGGAGGGCAGGGTATGGGCAACTCTTATGTTTTTGTCACTTCCCCTTTCTGCCCCAGCCTGTAAGCACCCTGCTTGGGGAGAGGGTACAGAGGAGAGAGTTCTGGACAAGAGGGACCCCACTTGGCCTAGAACCTGGGCCCTGGAAGGACTGGGGATTCCTGCGTGGAGAGTCGGGCAGAGGAGGGTTCTCAGGAAACCGGGATTTTCCCCCCCAAGCTCACAGGAGCATGGCTGCACCCTGAGCCGGAATGCTGGGGGAGGAGGGGGCAGGGGGTGGGAGCTGGGAGGAGCCGGGGAGCTCCGGGGAGCTCCGGGTAGTTTTCCCCAAGAGTCCACACAGGCAGAGACAGCCTAAGGAAGTAAAGAATAACATTTGGTCTTTGTCAAAAAACAACAAGGGGGGAGGGGAAGGGAACAGACAGTGAGTGTCACACAGCTGCTGAGGTCAATCTGGAGCGTGGGGTTAGGTGGGGGTGGGAGGGAATCGGGCTGTAAGGGGCAGGAACGGCTCCTGGAGCTCACTCATCACTCCTGATCTCACGAGTTGCAGAGCAGGCGAGATCAGTGGGGAGGTTTCGACTGGTTCTCCCCAGAAGAGGGGAGAGGGCGTGTGCCAGTGCTGGCCTGAGTGTTCCCAGGCGAGCGGGCACCTGCTTAGGGAGAAATACGCACTTTCCTCCAGCTCCGGTCCCCCACCTTGCCCATGAGAGGAGGAGGCCTGGGCTGGGGTGAGGCTTCGGGAATGCAGTCCTCCCTGATCCTGATCCCCACCCCCAGCTGTCGGCCCAAGGTCATAGGCTGCCTCCTGAGTAGCTGAGGCCTGACTCACCTGTCCCAGTTAAGTCCCCCACCCCCTACCGTCCACAGACACCAGGGTGGAGGGTGCATGGTTGGACAGATCCTGAGGGTTGAGGCGTGGAAGGACAGTCTCTAGCTGGCCAGCACTCCCAGCTAGGAGATAAGATTTCCTTCCCTCCAGCAACGGCCTCAAGTCCCTCCCCGGAAGAAAGCAGAAACTGAAATGGGAATTCTAGGATCCCTATGAGGTCACAGGCTCCACAGTGACCTCACAGGCTTAGGAAGGAGGAGGAGGAGTCTCAGATAAGGGGGTTGGGGATAATAGGCGGAAGAGCTCAGGGAGAAAAGAGTGAGGGGAGGTAGAGATTTGCTTCTTTCCCATAGGCTTTCCCATAGGCTGCGTGGACAGTGGAGAGGGCCAGGACTTCAGGGGGCGGGGTTGTGGCACAGAAAGCAGAAACCTTGGGCATAGGGACCAGTCACGGGAAGGGGGTGCCTGGGGCTCGGATCTCGGTGGGAAGGGGATTAAGAGGTGTAGACGAAGAGATGGGAGAAAAACAGTTATTAGAGGAGCTCGTGGGGACTGCTTCATAGACCGATTGGAGCTGAGGTTAAGAGGTCATGTAAATGAGACAACCAGGTGAGGGGCGGGACCATCCTACAGGTGCGCAGCTATGCAAATAAAGAGAAAGGAGGAATCTCTCTCAACGCTCGGAGGCGCCGGGCGTTCTGTGCAAACGAGAAGCACGTTCATTGTCCAGGGCTTTCTCAAAGATGGGACGGGGTGGCTGCAGGTTTACGGCAACCAGGAGGGGCAGCAACCCTGGCCGCCAGGTGAAAGGGCGGGCCCGACCCCCGGATTGGGCGGGGCCCGGGGTGGGGCTATGCAAATGAGGGTCCCGGTCAGGCCCGGGGCCCGGCTGCACTCACCAGCCTGGGTGATGTCTGACAGGTCGTAGCTACGGGCCGCGCCCCGGGGGAAGTGCTTCAAGCGCCGGTTAGACAGATTCAGGATCCCGGTGGCCACCGCCTCCTCTAGGGCCCGCTCTGCACTGCGGCTCCCTGGCAGACCCGGAGACCCGGGCACGGAGGTTGTGGCTGCCGCCTCCTCACCCCTAGCGGCGAGTGGAGCCGCTACGGCCGCCGCCATCCGCTCCCGGCGGCTCCCGCTGCCTGACTGACGGGACCCGCCGTCCCTCCTTCCCCCTCCCCCTCCTTGGAGCCGCCGTAGTTGCCTCAAGGGGGAGGGAGCTGTGTCCGGAACCCGACGGACCAATCGTGGCCCCGAGACGCGTCAGAAGTGACCAATCAGAACCCGCCAGTGGGGTGGAGCTCTGGCGCTGGAGTCTGACGAGAGAAGGGAGGGGAACGAGGATAGAGCGCTCGCCAACGGCTGGCGCTCCAGGCCGTCCCGCCCAGCGCAGCCGCACCCAATCACAATGCTTAGATCTGGAGGTGGAGCCAATCAGGTCCAACCAAGAGGAGGGGACACCGGCACTCAACTAGTAGCGAAAAGGGCCGAGGGACCGCAAGCAGGAGTGCCTAGTCCTCGTCCCCCAAAGACCAATCGTAAGCCAGATACAGGCGAGTGACTGTCAAGAAGGCCAATTAGAGCCTCTGAAGGGAATCTGGACCAGCCTCTTCTCTGAGGGACGGCTCTACCTTCCAATAGCATGGGCGAGAAGGCGGTCCCTTTGCTAAAGAGGAGGCGGGTGAGCTAGAACTTTAAGACTGAGATTAAGAATGAACGCGGAGCCCCGGGCCGGCCGGGAACGCAGTACGCGGCTGCAGTGGCGAGTGCGAGCTGGACGTGTTAGGGGGCTAGCCGGCGTCGAGGGCTGGAAGGGAGTCGGGCGACTGCTTGAGGCCAGTGCACTGGCGGTTGTCGCAGCTGAAGGGGCCAGCGGGGGAACCTCCGACTGTGAAGCCTCTGGCAGGGGTCTAGGGACCCCCGGGCTGGGGGCGGGCGGGGGGCTTCCCAGAGCCTGGGGACGCCCAGCTCGAGGAGGGAGGGTGTAGGTGCAGCGTTGCACGGTCTGCCGTCTCACCGGAGGAGCTCCCCTGGACAGGAATGGAGAGGGGACCAGACCTGGGGCTTTTAGAGGCTTAGAAAGGATCTCACCGTCTAGAAAACGCCCTTGATGCTACGAATGCAGAAACTGAGGCAGAGGGAAGTTGATGCGTTAGCAAGAACGAACAGCAAGTTCCTGACAGCTGGCTGTAGAAACTAGGTCTCTGGATCCTCCACGCACAGTCCTTTCCCTCTCCCTCAGTTTTCACAATGGATATTTTCATTCCCTCTCTTCCTCCCTCCCTCTCCCTTCCCTTCCCTTCCTCTTCTTCTTCTTCTTCTTTTTTTTTTTTAAAGAAGGTCTAGTTCTGTCGCCCAGGCTGGAGTGCAGTGGTGCAGTCATGGCTCACTGCAGCCTTGAATGCCTGGACTCAAGGGATCCTCCCGCCTCAGCCTCCCAAGTAGCTGGGACCACGGGCAGCACCACCGCGCCTGGCTAATTTATTTTTAATTTTTGTAGAGATGGGGTTTTGCTACGTTGCCCAGGCTGGTCTCAAACTCTTGACCTCAAGCGATCCTGCCTCTGCCTCCCGAAGTACTGGGACCACAGGTGTAAGCCACTGCACCCGGCCCACAGTGGACTTTTTCTTTCTTTTGAGAGGGTGTTGCCCTGTTGCCCAGGCTGGAGTGCAGTGGCTTGATCACGGCTCACTGCAGCCTCAACCTCCCACCTCAGCTTCCCGAGTAACTGTGACTACAGTCATGCACCACCATGCCAGCTAATTGTATTTTTTGTAGAGACAGGGTCGTACTATGTTGCCTAGGCTGGTCTCGAACTCCTGGGCTCAAGCAATCCTCCCACCTCGCCCTCCCAAAGTGCTGGGATTATAAGCGTGAGACACCAAGCCTGACCCACAGTGGACTTTTTCTTTTTTTTTTTTTTTTGACGGAGTCTCGCTCTGTCGCCCAGGCTGGAGTGCAGTGGCGCAATCTCGGCTCACTGCAAGCTCCGCCTCCCGGGTTCACGCCATTCTCCTGCCTCAGCCTTCCGAGTAGCTGGGACTACAGGCGCCCGCCACTGCGCCCGGCTAATTTTTTTCTATTTTTTAGTAGAGACGGGGTTTCACCATGGTCTCGATCTCCTGACCTTGTGATCCGCCCGCCTCGGCCTCTCAAAGTGCTGGGATTACAGGCGTGAGCCACCGCGCCCGGCCACAGTGGACTTTTTCTATTCACAATGTCTCGTTTGCCTCCTGGGGTGAAATGGAGTGGATAAAGCTAGAGGAATGGAAAATACCTTTCTGTCTACTTGGAGATCTTAACTTCCTTTCTAGTGGCATAAGTCCTTAATGCAGTCCCCTTCCTATGTGGTAGGTTGCCCAGAAACAAGTCACTGAAGTTGCTTTCTCCTAAGTTCACATCTCAGAGGCTGATATTCCTGAATAGTTGTTGAAGTGTTAAGATTCCATCTTAGGCATCCCAGCCTAGCTGTGGCTAGGCACCATACATAAGGGAATTTGGGTGGTCAGTCTGGTGCAGTCAATTAACGGATCTGTGACACTGTGTGGTGAGAGCTGGTGGTCTGGCAGGATGGGACTCCTTTGAACCCCTGCAAGAGCCAGCCACTCCTTGGATTTCTTGGTGTAGGTCTCCCCTGATCGGGACAGACACAACCCTGACCCCTGCTGTTTCTCCTCATAAATGTCACCCCACATAAGACAAAGCTAATATCAGAGACCCTGGGAGAAATCCTAAGCTTTCAGAGGACATCCATCCCTTTCTCCCACCTTAATAGGTTGTCCTTTATACATGCAGTGATGTTACTGCCCCTCAGGAAAGCAAAAGCAGTCTTCTTTTTGGTGGTGGTTTTGTTTTGAAACTGGGTATCATGCTCACCCTGGCTGGAGTACAGTGGCAGGATCATAGCTCACTGCTGCCTCAAACTGGGCTCAAGCAATCTTCTGCCTCAGCCTTCTGAGTAGCTGGGACTACAGGGGTGCATCACCACGCCTGGGTAATTTTAAAGTTTTTTATATATATAGACACAGGGTCTCTCTATGTTGACCAGGCTGGTCTTGAACCCCTGGCCTCAAGCCATCCTTGCACCATGACCACCCAAAAGTGCTGGAATTTCAGGCATGAGCCACTGGCACCAGGCTGCAGTCTCCTTTTGGGTGTGTTTTTTCATGAGTCTAAAGAGTTTGCTGAATCATTTGTGAGCTAAACGATTATGAGCACAGTCACCTCTCCATCTCACCTGTCAAACTGAGTTTATAGTTTTTTGAGTCTATACTCTTGAGCTACCAATCCCTGGAGGCCTTGGCCTGCTGAAACGTGAAGAATTCACCAGTGTTTATCTACAGAGTTAGTGCTAAAAGGGCCTCAAGTGGAAAACCTCCTCCTGCTCCCTGAAATAAAGATGTCACCTACCAGTAATTCACACTTTATTTCTCCAGTAAAATGCATATCCCTTGAGCCATGTGATGGCTAGAACTGAGCTAGAACCCAGGAGCTGTCTGAGAGATGGGTCCTGGACAAGATTAAAGGGAACAGGTCACAGTGGCCAAACAGTGAGGTCACAGAGAGGTTTGTTAGCCCCAGACTCCATGGGGGAGGGGTCTAGGAGGCAGAGGGGCCCCAGAGGTCCCCCAAGCCTAGGCAGGGGACATGGTGTGGGAAAGCCAGCAGGAACGGGGGGCCAAGGGCCTAGGAGACAGGAGGGCAGGAGCAGGGAGGGGGCAATCAGGATGGTGAGGAGAAGCCAGAGACGGAAGCTGCAAAAATTCACCAGGCTGTGTGGACGGGAGGAGGGGCTCCGGGTGAGGGGGATTGGCCGCAGGAGATTGGGAGGAGTTATTTGGAGAAGTTAGGGATGGGTCTGGAGAGAGAGGGGAGGACATGACTGCACCCAGCTGGAGTCAGATGAGCCCCAAGATAGGCAGAGAGAAGGGAAAAAAGGATGTGGGACCCTCATGGGACCCTATGCATCCCTTCTTGGGTAGGTGAAGAGAAGCTGCCCTTCTTGTGGCCCGGAGCTTGGGGTTGAAGAGAAGAAGGGGAAAGGGAATCCGATTTCTATCCAGTTGTTCCCCCCAGAGCTGGTGAGTCCTTGGGGAGGGGGGTTAAGAATAATAGCATTGGGGGCCAGACCACCAAGGAGCCACCAATGACCCCCCCGCCTCTTCCCTCCTCCCTCCCAGGTGGAGCATATCATCTCATTCCTCCCAGTCAGAGACCTTGTCGCCCTCGGCCAGACCTGCCGCTACTTCCACGAAGTGTGCGACGCGGAAGGCGTGTGGAGACGCATCTGTCGCAGACTGAGTCCGCGCCTCCGAGATCAGGGTTCTGGAGTCCGGCCCTGGAAGAGAGCTGCCATTCTGAACTGTACACCTTCCCCAGAACCTCCTGTTCTCCTTGCCTCTTGTCCTGCCTTAGCCTTCCTGCTCTCTAAAGGCCCCTGATGACACCCACACTCCTAACAGTGCTTCCAGGGCCCCTTTCTCCGGAAGAAACGGGTCCAGTTCAAACATTCTCCCTGGAGTACTTCCTGCAAGTCTTCAGAATCCACCCACAGCCCCCATTAGCGGCCTCCCTGCCAAGTCTCCCTCTGTACACAGACACTTCCCGCTTTTTCCCTAGAGGCAGCCCTCACTCCCCAAACCTGGAGTTTTCCCTCCTCTAACCTAAGGATTCTGAACTTACTATTGATATTTTGGGCGAAATACTTCCTTGCTGTGGGGAGCTGTCCTCTGCATCATAGGATGTTTAAGCAGCAACCCTGGCCTCCACCCGCCAGATGGCCAGCAGCATCCCCTTAATTGTGACAACCAATGTCCCTGAAGGACAAAATCACCCCCAGCCTGAGAACCATGTCATAAACCCTCTTCCCCTCCAGGGATCCCCCAGAGTGTACTTGTTACACTCACTGGGAGATTAAAAGAGAAGGGGTATCCAGAATGCAGATCCAAAGCTAGGGGTGAGGGAAGATGAGCGGACTTCATTGATCATTCCTTTCCACTCCTGTTTTCTGTCTCTTTTTTCTTTTCTTTCTTTCCCCTTTTCTTTCTTTTTTTTTTTTTTAGATAGGTTTTTGTTTGTTTGTTTGTTTTTGAGACGGAGTCTTGCTCTGTTGCCCAGGCTGGAGTGCAGTGGCCGGATCTCGGCTCACTGCAAGCTCCGCCTCCCGGGTTTACGCCATTCTCCTGCCTCCGCCTCCCGAGGAGCTGGGACTACAGGCGCCCGCCACCTCGCCCGGCTAGTTTTTTGTATTTTTTAGTAGAGACGGGGTTTCACCGTGTTAGCCAGGATGGTCTCGATCTCCTGACCTTGTGATCTGCCCGTCTCGGCCTCCCAAAGTGCTGGGATTACAGGCTTGAGCCACCGCGCCCGGCCTTGTTTTTTTTTTTTGAGAGAGGGTCTTGCTCTGTCACCGAGGCTGGAGCACAGTGGCACGATCTTGGCTTAATGCAACCTCCACCTCCCGAGTTCAAATATTCTTGTGCCTCAGCTTCCTGAGTAGCTGGGATTACAGGCTCCCGCCACCACACCCAGATAATTTTTGTATTTTTAGTAGAGATGGGGTTTTGCCACATTGCCCAGGCTGGTCTCAAACTCCTGGGCTCCTAAAGTGCTGGGATTACAGGCATGCAAAAATTCACTGGGCTGTGAATTGGAGGAGGGGCTCAGGGTGAGGGGGGTGGATGCCACGCCCGGCCTCTGTGTCTTTATTCTTAAGAGTTTTCCTCAACATCGCTGATGCAAGGTTGCACCAAAGACCTGCTCACTAAGAAGCACATGTTTGACCCTGGGCTGAGGTCGGCTGGAGACTAAAGTTCACATGTCGAGTATAATCTAAGCTTATTTTACACATCTCCTTCATAAGGGGTCTGTTCCCCTGTCTTGGGGATGGGGAGGAGCTACAAACTTGGGTGTCTGAGAAACCTACCCAAGCTCCATCTCATCTCCCTCGTGTCATCCCATCCCTTGAACCTTCTATCTCCTTCCCTCCTCCAGACACGAAGGGCCTGTATTTCCAGGCATTTGGAGGCCGCCGCCGATGTCTCAGCAAGAGTGTGGCCCCCTTGCTAGCCCATGGCTACCATCGCTTCTTGCCCACCAAGGATCATGTCTTCATTCTTGACTATGTGGGGACCCTCTTCTTCCTCAAAAATGCCCTGGTCTCCACCCTCGGCCAGATGCAGTGGAAGCGGGCCTGTCGCTATGTTGTGTTGTGTCGTGGAGCCAAAGATGTAAGTAGCAGAACCCTGGCAGCTGAGATCCCACCTGTGTTAGTCCATTTTCACGCTGCTATAAAGATGTACCTGAGGCCAGGTGCAGTGGCTTACACCTATAATCCTAGCACTTTGGAAGGCTGAGGCAGGTGGATCACCTGAGACCAGGAGTTCGAGACCAGCCTGGCCAACATGGCAAAACCCCTGTCTCTACTAAAAATACAAAAATTAGCTGGGTGTGGTGGCAGGTGCCTATAATCCCAGCTACCTGGGAGGCTGAGGCAGGAGAATCACTTGAACCTGGGAGGCAGAGGCTGCAGTGAGCCGAGATCGCACCCTTGCACTCAAGCCTGGGCAACAAGAGCGAGCCTCTCTCTCAAAAAAGAGAAAAGAAAAAAAAGAAAGACATACCTGAGACTGGGTAATTTATAAGGCAAAGAGGTTTGATTGACTCAGTTCCACATGGCTGGGGAGGCCTCAGGAAACTTACAATCATGGCAGAAGGGGAAGAGGCACATCTTACATGGCAGCAGGCAAGAACGCACAAGCAAGAGCAGGGAAAACTGCCTTATAAATCCATCAGACCTTGTGAGAACCCACTATCGCGAGAACAGCATGGGGGAAACCACCCCCATGATCCAATCACCTCTCACCTGGGGATTACAATCCGAGATGAGATTTGGGTGGGGGCACAGAGCCTAACCATATCGCCACCTCTCTTTTGAGGACCTAGACCCCCATTAGTCCTGAGGTGTCTTTCCTATGACTTCTGCCCTCCCACATAGGAACTTGAAATCAAGGGCTTATTTCCCAACCCTGGACCCAAACATTTCACCTCCCACCCCAGGATCCAGCTGCCCCAGCCCCATCCTATTTTGAAGCCCTAGATCTCAGATGCCCTCATCTTTTCCCCCAGTTTGCCTCAGACCCAAGGTGTGACACAGTTTACCGTAAATACCTGTACGTCTTGGCCACTCGGGAGCAGCAGGAAGTGGTGGGTACCACCAGCAGCCGGGCCTGCGACTGTGTTGAGGTCTATCTGCAGTCTAGCGGGCAGCGGGTCTTCAAGATGACATTCCACCACTCCATGACTTTCAAGCAGATCGTGCTGGTTGGTCAGGAGACCCAGCGGGCTCTACTGCTCCTCACAGGTGTGGCCCAAAGCAGTGGCTTTTGCAAACTGTTTCCTTCAGATTCCTCAGGCCCTGCTGCAGAGGAGGGGGAGGGAGGCCCCTCAGACTGGTTTCCATATGCCACCTTATCCTAGCCTCCATCTAAATAGCTCTGCCTTTCTCTGTCTCCTAGTCTAGGATTCTGCTTAATATTTTACATGAATAAAAGGTCCTGTCCGGGTGCAGTGGCTCACACCTGTAACCCCAGCACTTTGGGAGGCCGAGGTGAGCAGATCACCTGAGGTCTGGAGTTCGAGACCAGCCTGACCAACATGGCAAAACCCCATCTGTACTAAAAAATACAAAAATTAGGTCGGGCGCGGTGGCTCACACCTGTAATCCCAGTTGTTGGGAGGCCGAGGCGGGTGGATCATGAGGTCAAGAGATCGAGACCAACCTGGTGAAACCCTGACTCTACTAAAAAAAATACAAAATTAGCCAGGCATGGTGGCACACCTATAGTCTCAGCTACTCCAGAGACTGAGGCAGGAGAATCCCTTGAACCCGGGAGGCGGAGGTTGCAGTGAGCCAAGATCATGCCACTGCACTCCAGCCTGGTGACAGAGAAAAACTCCGTCTCAAAAAAAAAAAAAAATAGCCAGGCCTGGTGGCGTGCATCTGTAGTCCCAGCTACTTGGGAGCCTGAGGCAGAAGAATCACTTGAACCCAGGAGGTGGAGGTTTCAGTGAGCCAAGATTGTACCACTGTACTCCAGCCTGGGCGACAGAGCGAGACTCCGTCTCAAAAAAAAAAAAAGAAAAAAAAAGGCCCTGCTGCCAAAAAACAGTTTGCAAACCACTATTAGTGAACACCTGATTTTAAAAGGTCTGATCTTGGCAGGGCGTGGTGGCTCACGCCTGTAATGCCAGCACTTTGGGAGGCCAAGATGGGCAGATCACTTGAAGTCAAGAGATCAAGACCATCTGGCCAACATGGTGAAACCCCGTCTCTACTAAAAATACAAAAGTTAGCTAATTGGCTGGGCATGGTGGCACGTGCCTATAGTCCCAGCTACTCAGGAGGCTGAGGCAGAAAAATTGCTTGAACCAGGAGGCAGAGGTTTCAGTGAGCCGAAGTCGCACCATTACACTCCAGCCTGACAACAGAGCGAGACTCTGTCTCAAAAAAAAAAAAAAAAAAAAAAAAATCAGATCTCCCCAGCTTCCATGCCAAGCACCTCACTATACTCCAAACTGCTCCCTACTTTCCTAGTGTCCTTTATAGTTAACCACATCCCCAGGCCTGAAACCCTCTAGGCTTTTTCTTAATTTTTTTTTTTCTTTTTTGGAGCAGGGTAGGAGATGGGGTCTTGCTATGTTGCCCAGGCTGGTCTCGAACTCCTGGCCTCAAGTGATCCTCCTGCCCTGGCCTCCCAAAGTGCTGGGATTACAGGTGTGAGCCACCACACTTGATCACCTCTACATTTCTGAATGCCAGGCAGGGCTCTCAATCCCCAGACCTCTCACTCAAATCGGATTCTAACAAATCTGCTAGATTTTTCTCTCCGCTCATCTCTCATGCTGAAATACTTCCCTGATTTATGGTGGGAACTGGAGTCTGGGGGACTTGGGGTCACTCTTCCCTTATTTCTTTCTCACCCTTTCTTCCAGCCCCACTCTAGGGCAGTAAATGTGTCACCCATAGAGCCTAGGGAGTCTCTTGGGATGTTTACGTGGATATTGGAGAATCCCCTCCCCAACTAATTGTCTGCTTCCCCTGCCCCCAGAGGAAGGAAAGATCTACTCTTTGGTAGTGAATGAGACCCAGCTGGACCAGCCACGCTCCTACACGGTTCAGTTGGCCCTGAGGAAGGTGTCCCACTACCTGCCTCACCTGCGCGTGGCCTCCATGACTTCCAATCAGAGCAGCACCCTCTACGTCACGGGTATGGACCACCTCCCCCTAGCTCAAGCCCCCAGCCTTGGTTAGACCCTCCAAACACTGACAGCCCTCACCCTTACTCCAGTTGGATGGTCAACCCCTGAGGGCATCCTAGTGAAAAGATGTGTTTAGGGCCGGCATGGTGTCTCTTGCCTGTAATCCCATCACTTTGGGAAGGCAGGTGGATCACCTGGGGTCAGGAGTTCAAGACCAGCCTGGCCAACATGGCGAAAACCCATCTCTACTAAAAATACAAAAATTAGCTGGGTGTGGTGGCAGGCACCTGTAATCCCAGCTACGCCAGAGGCTGAGGCAGGAGAATCACTTGAACCAGGAGGTAGAGGTTGCAGTGACCTGAGATCGTGCCACTTGGCTCCAGCATGGGCGACCGAGTGAGACTCAGTCTCAAAAGATGTGTTTTCAGTTCCCAGGCATCATAGCTGATGCATTCCTAGTGGGTTTGAGACTCCTTGGATCTTGTAGCTTTCATCCCAGGTGGGGTCTTATCCCTAGAAATGGGTGCCCAAAGCTGCTGAGCTGAGGGCTCCTGACCCCCCAGACCAGGGGGGAGTGTATTTTGAGGTGCATACCCCAGGAGTGTATCGCGATCTCTTTGGGACTCTTCAAGCCTTTGACCCCCTGGACCAGCAGATGCCGCTTGCTCTCTCACTGCCTGCCAAGGTAGGCTCCTGGAGGGATGGGGCCAACCAGAGGGGTGGGGCTGTAGGGATTGAAAGGTCTGAAGTATTATAGGAATCAAATGATTGATCCAGAGGGGCAAGGGATCCCCAGGGAGAGGTATGCCAAAAGAGATCAGCTGAGGGCTGGGTGCAGAGGGAGGCTGAGGAAGGAGGATTGCTTGAGCTCAGGAGCTCTAGACCAGCCTGGGCAACATAGTGAGACCCCATCTCTAAAATATATATATATTATATATAGAAAGAGATCAGCTGGGGATGGCAGGTTAGTGGCTGGGAGACTCTGGAACTCAGAGTTCCTCTGGAGGGAATGGAATGCCTATCCCCTTTCTATCTTGCATGCTAGATCCTATTCTGTGCTCTTGGCTACAATCACCTTGGTCTGGTGGATGAATTTGGCCGAATCTTTATGCAAGGAAATAACAGATACGGGCAGTTAGGAACAGGGGACAAAATGGACCGAGGGGAACCCACACAGGTGAGACTGTTTCCCAGCAACTCTCATCCCAACCCCTTTCCTCCAATTCCCTAACCCCCAGATATGTCCACTTCTCCTGCTTCCATAGAATCCAGATTCTGCTCCTCTGGGAAGTTAAGCCAATCAACATGTCATGCCAGTGGTACTGCCCCAGGGTTGGCACTATGAGGTCCATTCTGTGCAGTGCAGATGCAGTAGGAATTTAGTGAAGGGGTAGAGTGGGTGACCTGGGCAGGCTAGAGTAACTTCTAGAAGAGGTAAGATGTGAGCAGGGGCCGGGTGCAGAGGCTCACCCCTGTAATCCCAGCACTTTGGGCGGCCAAGGTGGGCGGATCACTTGAGGTCAAGAGATCGAGACCAGCCTGGGCAATATGGTGAAACCCCGTCTCTACCAAAAATATAAAAAATTAGCTGGCTGTGGTGGCACATGCCTGCAATCCCAGCTACTCAGGAGGTTGAGGCAGGAGAATCTCTTGAACCCAGGAAGCTGAAGTTGCAGTGAGCTGAGATCGTGCTACTGAACTCCAGCTTGGGCAACCCAGCGAGACTCCATCTAAAAAAAAAAAGATGTGAGCAAGGCGTCGTGGGTTACATAAGACTTAGGTAGGGACAGAGAAGGCATTTTGTGTGATAAGGAGGGGGATAGGCACGAAACTTGCACATACCTGGGACAGTGACAAGACGGGTCTTACTAAAGCACAGAAGGCATCTTGGGAATCACTGAGGTATGAGGTGGTACAGGTGGGCACAAGCCTAGAGAGGTGTAGATCTGGGGAAGAGTCACTGCGGGTTCTGGAATGGGAGAAGGCAACCCCCAAGAGGTGACTGAGAACATGTCAGGAGCCTTGTGCAGAGGAGGCCGAGGCAGGGAACCCGCCAGGAGGCTGTTGAGTGATGGCAGCACTTGAGGGCCTGGCACTGCAGCGAGAATGGGAAGGAATGGATACATGAGCTATTTGATTTGGAAAGAAAATGAATATGGCCTCAAAACTGATGAGATAGATGTAGAAGAGAGGGGTATAAGACAGAGGTGGCTCTGGAAGAAAGATGATATCTCACACCTGTAATCCCATGAGATCAGCCTGGACAACATGGAGAAACCCTGCCTCTAGAAAAAATACAAAAATTAGCCAGATGTGGTGGCAGGTGCCTGTAGTCCCAGCTACTCGGGAGTCTGAGGCACGAGAATTGCTTTAGCCTGGGAGGCGGAGGTTGCAGTGAGCCGAGATCGTGCCACTGCATTCCAGCCTGGGTGACAGAGAGAGACTCTCTCAAAACAAAACAAAACAAAAACCACACTCAATTGGAAATGTCTAGCTGGCAATTAGATACTACCTGGGAACATGGTTGAATGGACAGAAGTAGAGACTGAAAAGCAACTCTGAGAAGTAGGCCCCGTGGTAGGCAGGGGATGAAGAAGAGGTACCTCTAAAACAGGCCATGCACCCCTCTAACACTGTCCCAGAAGCCATGTGAGAAGGAAGTTCCAAATGGGGTGGGTGGCAGGGTTAATTGACAGTGTGACAATGTAAGATACGTTTACTACTGACATGGAAAAGATAGTCATGCCGTATTTTTAGGTGAAAAAAACTTTTATGAAATGGTTTATATAGTACCATTTATTTTTATTTTTATTTTATTTTCAAGATGGAGTCTTGCTGTGTCTCCCAGGCTGGAGTGCAATGGCACGATCTCGGCTCACTGCAACCTCTGCCTCCCAGGTTCAAGTGATTCTACTGCCTCAGTCTGCCAAGTAGATGAGATTACAGCGTCCACCACCATGCCCCGCTAACTTTTGTATTTTTAGTAGAGACGGAATTTTACCATGTTGGCCGGGCTGGTCTCGACTCCTGACCTCAGGTGATCTGCACACCTTGGCCTCCTAAAGTAGCTGGGATTACAGGCGTGAGCCACCACACCCAGCCTCTTTTATTTTTATTATTACTTTTTTGAGACAGGGTCTTGCTGCTTCCCAAGCTGGAGTGCAGTGGCACAATTGTAGCTCGCTGCAGCTTCCAACTCCAGGGCTCAAGAGATCCTCCTGCCTCAACCTCCCAAGCAGCTAGGACTACAGGAATGCGCCACTATGCCTAGATAATTTTTTTTTTTGAAACAGGGTCTTGCTATGTTGCCCAGGCTTATACTGAACTCATGGCTTTAAGCAATCCTCCCACCTCAGACTCCTAAAGTGCTGGGATTACAGGTGTGACCCACCACACCTTGGCTCATCCCATTTTTTGTTTAAAAATACACAACTTGCCCATCATGGTGGCTGGCATCTGTAATCCCAGCTACTCAGGAGGCTGAGACAGGAGGATTGCTTGAGGTCAGGAGTTGGAGGCTGCAGTGATCACCACTGCACTCCAGCCTGGGTGACACTGAGACCTTATCTCTAAAAAATGAAAAATATACAACTTATGTGTATTTATTTGTTTAGCCAACAGTGAAGAATATCTAGCAAGATATTAATAGTAGATAGTGGGATTTCCAATGATTTTAAAATTAATGTTTTGCTTGCCAATGTTTCATAATTTTTCTAGAATGACCATAAATTACTTATCAGTGTCTTCAGAATTAAAGCGCTAACAGGCTCAGGAGAATGAGGGGGTAGAAGAGGCCCTGGGATTTAGCCGCTGAGAGGGCAAGTGCCTCTAGAAAGAGCATGTCAGTAATGTAGTAAAGAAAAAAGCCAGATCCCAGGGAGGTGCTGGAAAGACTGGCTGTGGGAAGGAACAGTAATGTGGTCAACCTCAGATTGGTCATGTAACCAACTGTGCTGCTTAAGAGAGAGAGGCAGGAAGCGGCAGGAAGCAAGTAGAAAATTTTTTTTTTTTTTTTTTTCAAAAACAGGGTGGCCATTTTGGAAAAGAATTATGTGATAAGTTGAAAATGCTAGGCTGAGCACAGTGGCTCACACCTGTAATCCTAGCACTTTGGGAGGCCAAGGCAGGTGGATTTCCTGAGCCCAGGAGTTCGAGACCAGCCTGGGCAACACGGTGAAACCCCGTCTCTACTAAACTACAAAAGAAATTAGCCGGGCGTGGCGGCGTGCACCCATAGTCCCAGCTACTCGGGAGGCTGAGGCAGGAGAATTGCTTGAAGCGGAGAGACAGAGGCTCCAGTGAGCTGAGATCATGCCACTGCACTCCAGCTTGGGCAACAGAGTGAGACTCTGTCTCCACAAAAAAAAAAAAAAAAAAAAAAAGAAAACGGTAGAGGCCGAAGTGGGAGGCCAGGAGTTCAAGATCACCATGGGCAACATAGTGAGACACTATCTCTATAGACAATTTAAAAATTTAAAATTTAAAAATTATAGGCACATGCCGGGTGTGGTGGCACACGCCTGTAGTCCCAGCTACTCAGGAGGCTGAGGCAGAAGGATGGCTTGAGCCCAGGAGTTCAAGGCTGCAGTGAGCTATGATTGTACCACTGTACTTCAGGCTGGGCAACAGAATGAGACCCCATCTCTAAAAAAAGAAAATAGAAAATAAAAATACTAGAGTGGAGGTCAGGTGCAGTAGTTCACGCCTGTAATCCCGGCACTTTGGGAGGCCAAGGCAGGCAGATCACCTGAGGTCAGGAGTTCGAGACCAGCCTGGTCAACATGGCATAAACCCCGTCTCTACTAAAAATACAAAAATTAGATGGGCGTGGTGGCAGGGACCCGTAGTCCCGGCTACTTGGGAGGCTGAGGTGGGAGAATCGCTTGAACCCAGGAGGCAGAAGTTGTAGTGAGCCGAGATCGTACTACCGTACTCCAGCCTAAGCAACGGAGTCAGACTCTGTCTCAAAAAAAAAAAAAAAAAAAAAAGAAAAGAAAGAAGGAAGAAGGAAGGGAGGGAGGGAGGAAAAAGAAAGAAAGAAAGAGAAAGAAAGAAAAGAAAGGAAGGAAGGAAGGAAAAGAAAAAAAAGAAAAGGAGGGAGGGAGGGAGGGAGGGAAGGAGGGAAAGAAGGAAGGAAGAAAGGAAGAAAAAACAATAGTAGAGCAGGAAGGGAGGGATAGTGGAAGGAAAGTCCTTCCTCAGGGTGGTGTTGGAGGCTAAGCTGGAGTTGCACAAGGAGCAAGTCTCCCTGAGGCTGGCAGGCAGGATGAGAGGCTGGACTGGCACAGATAGGTGGGCTGAAAATGAGGGGTACACCACAGCAGGCCCTGGGCTCAGGCAAGGAGCTCATTTTCTGGGGGGCATAGATGAAGTACCAAGAGAAGTGCAAGACTCTATGTGACCACTTAGAGTATGGGGGCTGCAGGGGTCAGCAGGGCAGACCTGGGGCGTGGGGCAGTGCTGGCTCCCATTTCCTCCTCCCCAGTTCACATTCTGTCCCGAGCCTTCCAGTCAACCTTTTCCCACCCCAGCCCCCCAGTCCCTTGGTGTTCCCCGCTCAGGGCCCCTGGCCGTGTGTCCCCAGGTTCGTTACCTGCAGCGGCCCATCACCCTGTGGTGTGGTCTCAACCACTCTCTGGTGCTGAGCCAGAGCTCAGAGTTCAGCAAGGAGCTGCTGGGCTGCGGCTGTGGGGCTGGGGGCCGCCTCCCAGGCTGGCCCAAAGGGAGTGCCTCCTTCGTCAAGCTCCAAGTCAAGGTCAGAGCGGGGTCAGGGGAGGGGGCACCCAGGGAAGACGAGAGTCATGAGCCAGGAAGCCCACAAGGCTGTAGTTGGGGCTCCTGCAGGGACCCAGGGGGTCCCATTTCCCTAGCATCACCCCACCTCCCTCCTCTGCCTCACACCACACTCTCTGCTCTCTCCCTTAGCAGACTGTGCTGGCCTTGTCCAACCTCTCTCACCCCTGGGACTTAGCAGGCTCAGGGCTGGTGTGAGAGGGAAGAATGCAATAGGCAGATTAGCCCGGGCTCCCTGGGAACCCCTGCAAGGAAAGTACCACTCAGCCATGCCCCTTTCTCTCCTCCTCCAAGGTCCCTCTGTGTGCCTGTGCCCTCTGTGCCACCAGGGAGTGCCTATACATCCTGTCCAGCCACGACATCGAGCAGCACACCCCCTATCGTGACCTGCCGGCCAGCAGGGTGGTGGGGACTCCCGAGTCCAGCCTGGGGACCGGAGCACCCCAGGACCCCGGGGGGACGGCCCAGGCCTGTGAGGAGTACCTTAGCCAGATCCACAGTTGCCACACGTTGCAGGACCGCATGGAGAAGATGAAGGAGATCGTAGGGTGGATGCCCCTGATGGCCGCACAGAAGGACTTCTTCTGGGAGGCCCTGGACATGCTGCAGAAGGCTGAAGGAGGCGGGGGTGGTGTAGGGCCCCCAGCCTCTGAGACCTAATCCCCCTCATGCTAGCCTAGTCCCTGGAGGGAGTCTGGCCCCAGGCCAGGGACTAAGGAGCAATGACCACTGTGTGCATGCATGTGGGAAGGGGTTGCTAGGGGGTGGGGACCGCTAACCAGGGTAAGGCAGGGAATTGTTTTGTAAAATGTTCAGGGGGCTGCCCAGGAGGGGCCCCCAACCTGACTATCATGGACGAGAGATTTGATGGATAGAATAAAAGGCTGCAGTGAGGCCTGGTGTGGAGGCCTGGTGGAAGGCTGGCAGGGACGGGCAGGGATGGGGGTCTGCGGCCCAGCATGGTGGGTGCGGGAGGGCAGGAGCCCAGGCAGAGGCAGGCAACAGAAGCAGCTCCAGGTCTCAGGTGTGGCGGAGCTGATGCTGCCTGAACTCTTCACATTGCTGTCCACTCCCCGCTCCCAAGAGCCCACCCGGTCGTTTGGACTGGGAAGTCCTGGCCCCACTTTCTGGAACAACTCTATGCACAGATGCTCTTGGCTACCACCCTGGGGTCCCCTGTCTATTAGACTTGTCCCATCCTGAGGTAGCCAGTCCCTCTTGACCCCCAAGCTTCTCACCCATCTCAATTCAGCCTGAAGCCAGCCCCCTCCTCTCTTCCTTCTGTTTACCCCCCAGGTTTGGGCTCTGTTTTCTACTCCTTCCACCTCTTCCTCAGTAACAAGGACACTCCCTTCATCTATACCCCATGCCTCCTGCCTTGCTTCCTGTACCTTCAAGTAGTTGGAAGAGGCCATGGGTGAGAATTCCTTCTCCTTGGCCTAGTCTGGCCCAGGCCTGGAGAGAAGGCAATAGAGATTTGAAGTGGAGGCCAGGCTTGGTGGCTACGCTTATAATCCCAGCAGCTTGGGAGGCCAAGGCAGGTGGATCACCTGAGGCTAGGAGTTCGAGACCAGCCTGGACAGCATGCTGAAACCCTGTCTCTACTAAAAATACAAAAATTAGCCAGGCATGGAGGTATGCGCCTGTAGTCCCAGCTACTTGGGAGGCTGAGGCACAAAAATCGCTTGAACCCGGGAGGCGAAGGTTGCAGTGAGCCGAGATGGTGCCACTGCACTCCAGCCTGGGTCACAGAATGAGACTCTGTCTCAAAAAAAAAAACTGGAAAATGGGCTGGCAGGGGGTGAGCAATGAGGGCTCCTGAGCTGAGGAAGCAGGGGCTGGGGGAGGATGGGGGCTAGTGAGTCCTCAGAAGGTCCTGGAGATACTCCCTCAGTGGACAGAGTGGGGTTCCCGATGACGTTATTTGAGGCCTGGGAGACGGCCTCTGCCCCTCACTGCTCCTCCCCCTTCTTAGGTCAACATTTATGTGTCCTAGACCTAGAGAGGTCCCAGGACACGCCACTGTCCCGCCTTCCCCACCGCCCGCCCCACTGGCCAGTCCCCACGCCCACACACCCGAGGCTGCCCCATCTGGCGCTGATTATCCTGCTGCTGCCGCCACCGCTGCTGCTGCTCTGCAAAATTCAGCTGCTGCCTCTGTCTTGAGGACCTCTGCCTCTTTCCCCCGGGCCATGCTGCCTGCAGCCACAGCCTCCCTCCTGGGGCCTCTCCTCACTGCCTGGGCCCTGCTGCCTTTTGCCCAGGGCCAGACCCCCAACTACACCAGGTAGGTCTCTTGGCATCTTCCAGACAGCTCCAGTGAACTTCAGACCCCTGATTCCTGGGGCGTTATGCCTGGGGATATTTTGGGTTCCCTTGCTGACACACCACTCCCCAGATTTCCCACCGCCTCACCCTTCTCTGGCCCCCAAATCCTCCCCATCTGCTGTAAGACCTTGATCTCCTGCAGGCCACCACTGCTCCCATTCCCCCACCTTCGTCCTCTGGTCTCTTAAGTCTCCCCACCCACCCAGATCCTTGGCCCCCCCATAGAACCCAAGAGAGAGCCAAGCTCCTGAACTTGCCTGGTAGCTGGATTCCAGGAAGGAATTCGAGAGGGATTTAGAGGGAGGAGGGGCCAGCGAGTGGAGACTTGGGAGTCAGATTCTAAAGCAGTTTGGAACAGGGGCCAGGCTAAGGTGAGGAGCTCGGGGAGCCTGGCCTCCAGGTTCAATCAGAGGGCCATCACCACTGCAGCTCCCTCCATCTCTCCACTCCCTCCCCCGCACCGCCTCGTGGCTGTGTCCACATCTGGAAGTAGTTAGGCGGCTCCTGTCCCTGGACTGCCAGGCAGAGTGAGGGGGGAGTCAGGAAGGGGGGCCAAGGAGGATTCCGGGAATTCCTGTTGGGGTGGGGGGTGGGGACTCTGGGGGTTGGAGGGATGGTCGAGTTGCCAGGCCCACTTTTCCCTTATCTTTGTGGGAGTCTGGGACACCCCAGCCCTGTCCTGGCTGGTGGAAGCTGCCCCAGGTCTCTCAAGGCCTTTCCATTTCATCCCCCAGCTTCCCTCCTTGGAGTTTCATCCTCATCACCTCATCCCCATCTTGCCAGTGCTCCCCTGTCCCACCCGTCCCTGCTCTTTCCTGACCCCTTTTCTGTTCTCCAGACCCGTGTTCCTGTGCGGAGGGGATGTGAAGGGGGAATCAGGTTACGTGGCAAGTGAGGGGTTCCCCAACCTCTACCCCCCTAATAAGGAGTGCATCTGGACCATAACGGTGAGAAACCCCTCTGGGCACTACCGCTTGTCAAAGTCTCAGAGGCAAAGGCCTGACTGCGAAGGGACCGCCCCCAGGCCCCCACCCCCAGTCCCCAGCACCACCTTCTCAACCTGGGGCAGCTCCAAGTGTCTTCCCTCTGTCACTAAAGGCATCATTCCCACCGTAACAAGCACCCTCTTAACCCTTCCCTCAAATCCTCCTTCTCCAGTCCCCGGCCCTCCCTCCTCTTCCAAAGCCTCAGCTCTTGTCCCCTGCACAGGCCACCAGCAGAGCTGCAGAGACCAGGCCCTCTGCCCTACAATCGCATGGGGGCCTCTTCCCGTTTAGTCCGTTTCTGCAAGAAACGCTTGGGGCAGGGGGTTGCCCTCTGGCTGGGTTGTGTGGGGCCTGACTCTGTGGGTCCCCACCTCTGTCCCCGCTATCAGGTCCCCGAGGGTCAGACTGTGTCCCTCTCATTCCGAGTCTTCGACCTGGAGCTGCACCCCGCCTGCCGCTACGATGCACTGGAGGTCTTCGCTGGGTCTGGGACTTCTGGTCAGCGGCTCGGACGCTTTTGCGGGACCTTCCGGCCTGCGCCCCTAGTCGCCCCCGGCAACCAGGTGACCCTGAGGATGACGGCGGATGAGGGCACAGGAGGACGAGGCTTCCTGCTCTGGTACAGCGGGCGGGCCACCTCGGGCACTGGTGAGAACTCCCTCACCTCCGCTTTCCCCCCACTCCAGGCCCCGCCCCGGGCGCAGTCCCGCCCCCAGCCCTAACCTCTGCCCCGCCCACCCCGCGCCCCAGCGCCTAGGGCGCCTTACCTCCCTGACCAATTTTCCTCACTAACCGCCCCTTCAGTCCCTCCTCCCCGTCTTCTCTCCCCTCCTCCCGCACCCACCCATCCCCTCTTCCAGGGCCCCCCCCAGGCGCGAGGCGGAAATGGGTCACCGACCCGCGGGTGGAATGGGCGGCCTGGGGTTACTGGGACGGTGAGTAACTGCCCGCCCCCGTCCGCAATCGGGCTCCCTCCGACGGGCGCGAGGGGGCACCCCAGGGCTGGGGGGACTAGGTTCCTCCGACCCGGGGGGCCCCCCTACACTCAGCCCTGGGCTCCCGATTGCGGTCCCATCACCCCCTCCTGGCGGCAGAAGTCTCCCTTGCAATGTTTCAGGCGGGGACCTCCCTAAAGAGGGCCTCGGGGGCTGTGCCCCAAGTCGACGACACCCTCTCCAGCCTGAAAGGGGACTCTGCTGCAGGGCCGGGGAGATGGGATCTCCTAGGGGAAGAGGCGCGGTGCGGCCGCGGGTCGGGGAGGGGCCAGAAGGGGGCGTCCAGCCAGTTCCTCCTCCCGCTTCCACCGCCCGCCAGTGCGCCCTGCGGCCCCAGACTTCCCCGAGCCGCGCTCCTCCCGGCCGCTCTCTGCTAACCTGCCCCCGTCTTACCTCCCCTTCTTCTCGTCCCCTCATCCTGAGCCCCAGACATCCGAGCTGCCTGCCGGGGCTCCCAGCCTAGAACTCTCCTCGAGCTGACCGAGGGTCTCCACCGCCCCCCACCCCCGCTCCTCTCTCCCCTCCCCAGAGCACCAGTTTTGCGGGGGGCGGCTGGAGAAGGCCCAGGGAACCCTGACCACGCCCAACTGGCCCGAGTCTGATTACCCCCCGGGCATCAGCTGTTCCTGGCACATCATCGCACCCCGGGATCAGGTACCGACCCTCCTCCCCGGGCTGCCCTAGGGGACCCAGGCGGCGCCCTCCAGCTTGCAGCCAGCAAATATTTATTGAACATCTGCTGTGTCCCGAGCACTGCGCTTGCGCTGGTGGGCCCCCAAAACAGCCCCAACCCCTGCATGCACACAAACAAAAATGTAAAAATTGCAACTGAGACAAGTCTCAGGAGAGTGAGGTACAGGGTCCTGGTATTACACGCGGGTCTGTCACTTGTGAGTGTGCCAGGACTTGACCTTGCCAACGACGACTACCGACGCCCCTGCAGGGTCCCATGGGTGTGTGTGGTCCTGCGTGCTGTGGTGTGAACGCCTTCAGGAGGGGGCCCAGGGGACGCGGGAGGTGGGAGTAGGGGCTGCAGAAGGCACCCAGTAGATGAGGTGCAGGCGCCGAGAGGTGTCCCACCGCGCAGCCCCCGCCTCCACCCGCCACCAGGTCATCGCGCTGACCTTCGAGAAATTTGACCTGGAGCCAGACACCTACTGCCGCTACGACTCGGTCAGCGTGTTCAACGGAGCCGTGAGCGACGACTCCCGGAGGCTGGGGAAGTTCTGCGGCGACGCAGTCCCGGGGTGAGGGGCGGGACCTGGGCGAGTCCGGGTGAGAGAGTAGGGGGACCGCGCGCAAGTGGCTGTTTGTAAGGGCGGGGTTCAACTAAAGGGACGGGATCTGAACTCCAGGGCTCCAAACCAGGGAGGGGAGCAGGTTCCGGACCAGGCAAAGAGAAGATTTGGCCTTGGGTCTGGAGTCTGGGGATAGAGAGGCTAATGGGGCTCTGCGAAGTCGGGACGAAGTTAAAAGGCCACCGGACCAGGCGTAGTGGCTCATGCCTGTAATCATAGCACTTTGGGAGGCCGAAGCTGGAGGATCACCTGAGCTTAGGAGTTCGAGACCAGCCTGGGCAACATGGCGCAACCCTGTCTGTACTAAAAATACAAAATAATTAGCTGGGCATGGTGGCGTGCCTGTAGTCCCAGCAACTTGCCGGGCTGGGGCAGGAGGATTACTTGAACCCAGAAGGTCAAGGCTGCAGTGAGCCGAGATGGAGCCACTGCACTCAAGCCTGGGAGACAAAGTGAGACCCTGTCTCAAACAAACAAACAAACAAACAAACAAACAAACAAACAAGGTCACGGGGGGCCGGGTGCGGTGGCTCACGCCTGTAATCCCTGCACTTTGGGAGGCCGAGGCGGGCGGATCACGAGGTCAGGAGATCGAGACCATCCTAGCTAACACGGTGAAACCCCGTCTCTACTAAAAATACAAAAAAATTAGCCGGGCATGGTGGCAGGCGCCTGTAGTCCCAGATACTCGGGAGGCTTGAGACAGGAGAATGGCGTGAACCCGGGAGGCGGAGCTTGCAGTGAGCCGAGATGGCGCCACTGCACTCCAGCCTGGGCGGCAGAGTGAGGCTCCGTCTCAAAAAAAAAAAAAAAAAGTCACGGGGCTGAGACGAGTGTCGTGCACACCCGCCCTGACACTTCCCCCAATGCTCGGTGGCCACCCACAGCTCCATCTCCTCCGAAGGGAATGAACTCCTTGTCCAGTTCGTCTCAGATCTCAGCGTCACCGCTGACGGCTTCTCAGCCTCCTACAAGACCCTGCCGCGGGGCACTGCCAAAGAAGGGCAAGGGCCCAGCCCCAAACCAGGAACTGAGCCCAAAGTCAAGCCACCCCGCAAGTCCCAACCTCCGGAGAAAACAGAGGAAACTCCCTCAGCCCCCAGTGAGTCTGGGATGGGGGAGGAAAGGGAAACAGACTGAAGGGAGCCATTTCAAAAAGTTCTGACCTGCACTGTGGCTCACACCTGTAATCCCAGCATTTTGGGAGGCCCAGGCAGGAGGATCACTTAAGCCTAGGAGTTCAACATAGCAAGACCCTGTCTTTTCAAAAATAGAAAATTAGGCTGGGCTGGTGGCTCACGCCTGTAATCCCAGCACTTTGGGAGGCCAATCCAGCAGATCACCTGAGGTCAGGAGTTCAAGACCACCCTGGCTAACATGGCGAAACCCCATCTCTACTAAAAATACAAAAATTTGCCAGGTGTGGTGATGCACACCTGTAATCCCAGCTACTTGGGAAGCTGAGACAGGAGAATCGCTTGACCTGGGAGGTGGAGATTGTAGTGAGCTGAGATTGTGCCACTGCACTCCAGCTTGGGTTACAGAGTGAGATTCTGTCTCAAAGAAATAAATAAATAAATAAATTAGCCAGGCATGTGGTCATAGCTACTTGGGAGGCTGAGGTGGGAGGATCACTTGAGCTGGGAAGGTCGAGGCTTCAATGAGCCTGACTGTGCCACTGCACTCCAGCCTGGGCAACAGAGCAAGACTCCATCTTAAACAAACAAAAAAGTTCTTCCTCGGCTACATTCACTCATTGATTCATCTGATAGTCACTGGTCCCTCCTTCCTGCCAATGACCCTTACTGGGTGCTGGGACCGGAAGCCGGACAGAGCTCTGAACAGTTCTCAAGTCAATGAGGCTGTTATGGGGACAATGCTCCCTCCTACCTGCTGAGCAGGTCACGCTCCACCCTCCTCCCTCCTAGATGCACCCGCTGTCACCTGCCCAAAGCAGTGCCGCCGGACAGGCACCTTGCAGAGCAACTTCTGTGCCAGCAGCCTGGGTAAGAACACCCCCAACCCCATCCAGCTCCTTGAACCACCTCCCACTTCTGGTTCCAGTCTTCTGCCATCTGGAACCTCCCATCTCCTCATCTCTCACTCCCATTCTCCCACAGTGGTGACTGCAACGGTGAAGTCCATGGTTCGGGAGCCAGGGGAGGGCCTCGCTGTCACTGTCAGTCTTATTGGTGCTTATAAAACTGGAGGACTGGACCTGCCTTCTCCACCCACTGGCACCTCCCTGAAGTTTTACGTGCCTTGCAAGCAGTGCCCCCCCTTGAAGAAAGGTAACAGAGATGTGGAGAAATGGGGATGGGGCGAGCTAAGCCACACTGAAATGATCAAGGTGTGGAATTTTGAGACCTGCTGACAGGTCTCAAGAATAAGAGATCTCAACCCCTCCCTCCCTCCTTCTTCCAGGAGTCAGTTATCTGCTGATGGGCCAGGTGGAAGAGAACAGAGGCCCCATCCTTCCTCCAGAGAGCTTTGTGGTTCTCCACCGGCCCAACCAGGACCAGATCCTCACCAACCTAAGCAAGAGGAAGTGCCCCTCCCAACCTGTGCGGGCTGCTGAGTCCCAGGACTGAGACCCAGGCCAGCCCCGGCCCCTAGCCCTCAGGCCTTCTTTCTTATCCAAATAAATGTTTCTTAACTGAGGAAGGGGTCAGATCTCCATGCTTATGGTATTGGGGTCCAGCTTGAGGATTTCTTTTCATTCATTCTTTCATTCAACACATATTTACTATACAGAATAATCTTTTAAGAATGTGACCAGGTGTGGTGGCTCACAGCTGTAATCCCAGCACTATGGGAGGCTGAGTCAGGAGGATTGCTGAGGCCAAGAGTTTAAGACTAGCCTGGGCAACATGGCAAAACCCCTTCCACAAAAAAAATACAAAAATTAGCCAGGCGTGGTGGTGGACACCTGTAGTCCCAGCTACTCAAGTTGAGGTGGAAGGACCACTTGATCCAGGGAGGTAAGACTGCAGTGAGCTGTGACTATGCCACTGTACTCCACCTGGAGGAACACAGTGAGACCCTGTCTCAAAAAAAAAAAAAAAAGAATGTAAGTCACAGGCCAGGTGCAGCGACTGATGCCTGTAATCCCAGCGCTTTGAGAGGCTGAGGTGGGAGGATCACTTGAGGTCAGAAGTTTCAGATCAGCCTGGGCAACATAGCCAGATTCTGTCTTTACAAAAAATAATTACCTGAGCATGATGTTACTCATCTGTGGTCCCAGCTACTCAGGAGGCTGATGTGGGAGGCGTGCTTGAGCCCAGGACTCTGAGGCTGCAGTGAGCTATGATCACACCACTGTACTCCAGGCAACAGAGTAAGACTTTCTCCAAAAAGGTAAAAAGAAAATATGTCACGTCTTGGCCGGGCGCGGTGACTCACGCCTGTAGTCCCAGTACTTTGAGAGGCCGAGGCAGGCAGATCACTTGAGGTCAGGAGTTTGAGACCAGCCTGGCCAACATGGTGAAAGCCCATCTCTACTAAAAATAAAAAAAAAAATTAGCTGGGCATGGTTGCCGGCGCCTGTTACTCGGGAGACTGAGGCAAAAGAATTGCTTGAACTCGAGAGGTGGAGACTGCAGTGAGCTGAGATCACGCCATTGCACTCCAGCCTGGGCAACAGAGTGAGACTCCGTCTCAAAAAATAATATAACATAAAAAAGAAAAGAACATATGTCACTTTTTTTTTTTTTTTTTTTTTTTTTGAGACGGAGTTTCACTCTTGTTGCCCAGGCTGGAGTGCAATGATGCAATCTCGGCTCATTGCAAACTCTGCCTCCTGGGTTCAAGTGATTCGCCTGCCTTAGCCTCCCGACTAGCTGGAATTACAGGGGTGCATCACCACGCCTGGCTAATTTTGTATTTTTAGTAGAGACGGGGCTTCTCCACATTGGTAAGGCTGGTCTCGAACTCCCAACCTCAGGTGATTCACCCCACTTTGGCCTCCCAAAGTGCTAGAATTGCAGGCATGAACCACCACGCCTGGCCGATATGTCACATCTTGTCCCTCCTTTACTCAAAACTTTCCCATAGTTTCCCAAGTCTTACCAAGGGTTCAAGGCCCTATATCATCTGCATTCTCTCTCCTGCCTCACAGCTTCATGTCTACTGTCTCCCGTGTATCATCTGTTCCAGCCACATTCACAGTTTGTTGCCCCCCGCCTTTTTTTTTTTTTTTGAGACGGAGTCTCGTTCTGTCTCCCAGGCTGGAGTGCAGTGGCGCTATCTCGGCTCACTGCAACGTCCACCTCCCGAATTCAAACAATTCTCCTGCCTCAGCCTCCTGAGTAGCTGGGACTACAGGCACGTGCCACCACGCCCGGCTAATTTTGTATTTTTAGTTGAGACGGGGTTTTACTATGTTGGTCAGGCTGATCTCGAATTCCTGACCTCGTGATCTGCCTGCCTTGGCCTCCCAAAGTGCTGGAATTACAGGCATGAGCCACCACTCCCGGCCTTGTTGTCCATTTCTAGTACACTTCTGTTTTAGGCCTTTGCTGTTTCCTCTATCCAGAATTCTCTGCCATAGATATATCTCATGGCTCACTTCCTAAATCCAGTCAGATCTCTGCTCAAAGTTCATCCTAGTCACTCATTCATTTGTTCATTCCAAATAGCAGGCACTGTCATAAGTGCTAAAGATACAACAGAAAACTAAACAAAGTCCCTGCTCTTGTGGAAAGGGAAGAACATTCTACTGGAGGAGAAACAATAAAATAGGAGGTCATGTATCACTATAAGTGCTCTTAAAAAAAAAAAAAACAAAAAAAACAAATGAAATTAGCCAGGTGTGGAGGCGCGCGCCTGTAGTCCCAGCTACTCAGAAGGCTGAGGCGGGAGGATCGGTTGAGCCCAACCAAGCAGGTGGAGACTGCAGGGAGCTATGACTGCACCACTGCCCTCCAGCCTGGGTGACAGAGCAAGACTGTCTTAAAAAAAAAAAAGAAAGAAAGAAGAAAGAAAGAAAGAAAGAAAGAAAGAGAGAGAGAGAGAGAGAAAGAAAGAAAGAAAGAAAATGTAAAAGAGAACACGGGAATTCTACATAACATGTTCGGAGGAGACTTTCCATTAAGATCAATTTTGTCTTTGTTCCACCGCTAACTGGGTGCCCCGAGAGACCCAGATTCTTCACCTTATCCAGGCTGTAAAAGGAGTTGAAGATTCGATGCAATTAAAGTGGAAGGTTTAGCAAATCCTTTTTTTAAAATACATAATTACTCGAACAACATGGGTTTGAAATTAGCAAACCTTAATTCCCCGTGCAAATGTGAGTGATTTCCCACGTCCCTTACAGGAAGGTGAGAGACAGGAGGTGAGACTCAGGCTGGAGTCCCAGATGGGAGGAGCCTCCAACCAGTCCCATAGAAAACAGACTTTGGGCCTGGGGGAGGGACAGTGGCTCTCATGCACTTTGGGAGGCTTAAGTGGGAGGATCGCTTGGGCCCAGGAGTTCGAGACCTGCCTGCACAACATAGGGAGATCGTCTCTACAAAAAATTACAAAAATTACCCGGGTGTGGTGGTGCGCACCCGTAATCCCACCTACTCGGAGGCTGGGGCAGGAGACTCGGGAGGCTGGGGCAGGAGAATCCCTTGAACCCAGGAGTTGGAGGCTGCAGGAGCAAATGGGATCACCACTGTGACTTGCCTGGGCGGTACAGAGTGAAACTCTCTGCCTCTAAAAAGCAAAGAGGCCGGGCACGGTGGTCATGCCCGTAATCAGAGCACTTCAGGTGACTGAGGCGCAGTGGTGCACTCGTAATCCCACCTACTCGGAGGCTGGGGCAGGAGAACTTGAACTCAGGAGTTGAGGCTGCAGTGAGCAATGATCGCACCACTGCACTCAAGCCTGGGCGACAGAGTGAAACTCTCGTCTCTAAAAAAGCAAAAAAAAGGCCGGGCACGGTGGCTCATGCCTGTAATCGCAGCACTTTAGGTGACTGAGGCGAGTGGATCGCCTGAGGTCAGGAGTTCGAGACCAGCCTGACCAACATGGTGAAACCCCGTCTCTACTAAAAATACAAAGAATTACCCGGGCGTGGTGGCACACGCCTATAATCCCCGCTACTCTGGAGGCTGGGACAGGAGAATCGCTTGAACCCTGGAGGCGATGGTTGCAGTGAGCCGAGATTGCACTCTAGCCTGGGCGACAGCGCAAGACTTGGTCTCAAAAAAAAAGCAAAAAAGAAAACAGGCTTGATTCCTGCAGAGGCTTCTAAGGGGGCCTGGAATTGAAGAGGAGGAAAAAGGCTTCCTGGTGGGAGATTGACTTGGACTGTCTCAATAATAGGGAGGAAGAAACAAAGCCCAACTCGAAACCCCGCCCCCGGTTCCCTGAGTTACTTCAGGGCCAGGAAAACTGTTACGTCACCGGAATCTAGCCAATCGCAGACGACAGAAGGAGGGCGTTCTGTTTGGTCTTTCAGCACACCAATCGGCGTACAGTTACGGCAGAAACAAAGACGCCCTGGCCAATGACAGAGGCCGTACGGCGGAAGTGTACAAAAGGACTCCCGGGAACATGGCATCATTAGTCTGACCACAAGCTGACTGTCAGGTGCTTTGACCACAAAGCGGGCATCCTAGCGCGAGCGGCCGTTTTGAGGCAGAAGCCCGACGGGGCCCGTGTCCGAGCTTAGGGAGGGGCCAGAGACGCAAACACAGGTCTCCCAGGAAGCAGGAGGCGTCACAGGTAGCTCCGCGGGCGGCCGCTGCAGCGGGCGGAGTCTGGCCAGAGAGAGGAGGCGGGCGTCCGGGAACGCCCGGAAGGGGCGAGGCCAGCGGCGGGGCGGGGCTTATGGAGATCGCGAGCTGGGCCTGAGGAGAAGACCGGGTTGGGAGCTGCGAGGGGCCGGGTTTAGCGGGGTGGGCGTGGCCGTCGAGGTGGGGCTTGGCGGGTCCGAAGGAACCTGGGGCAGAGCTGGAAGAGGGAAGGTCTTGGGGGCCCTGGGCCTGGGTCTGCGGGAGTCCCATCTAGCGGGATTCCGAGGCGGCGGCGGCGTCAGTCCAGGCCCTGCCCCGGGAGCTCATCTTGTCCCCTTTCGCCCCTCACGCCCCCCAGCTCTCGACTCTAGGCCCTGTCCGCTGAGCTCTGCCCTCGGATGTCCGACCGCCCAGAGCCTGCATGCGCCGTGGGGCGCCCCAGGACCAGGAGCTGGTGGGTCCGGGGCCCCCTGGGCGGGGGTCTCGGGGCGCCCCTCCTCCCTTGGGACCCGTTGTCCCGGTTCTGGTCTTTCCCCCGGATCTAGTATTCAGGGCGGACCAGCGGAGCGGACCCCGACAGCTGCTGACCCTCTATAACCCCACAGGAACTGCGCTTCGATTCCGAGGTAAAGGGATCGGCGCCTCGTGCAAGGGATCTGGGGGCTGGTGGCCGGACATTGGGGGGCTGTGTTGGCTGGAGGAGTCAGATGGGTAGGGTTGGACGTCCAGCTTTGGTGGACTGGGAAAGTCATGTCCAGCCTGCGGGGCAGAAGGCAGAGGGGACTCAAATGACCCACATGGCAGGGCTTGTCTGTGTGTGTCTCTGTCCCCCAGTCCTGTGCACAGCACCTGCCAAATACACGGTGTTTGACGCAGAGGGATATGTGAAGCCTCAGTCTTGCATTGACATGTGAGTGAGCTGGGAGGGTGGGGAGGCTTATGGAAGCCAGAGGTCGCTGCTACCTGTTGTCTGAGGTCTGAGACCTTGCCCTCTTTATCCTGTTTGCCCTACCCTCTGTCTGTGCCCCTAAAGGAGAGACTTCTGGGGGGGAGGCTCAGATTTCCTAGGATTACTGCCTCTCACTCATTTCACCCCAATGGACTTCTCTCCTACCTTGGGACCAGTGTGATTCGCCATGTGGCACCCATTCCCAGCCACTATGATGTCCAGGACCGCTTCCGTATTGAGCTGTCTGAGGAAGGAGCTGAGGGCCGCGTGGTGGGACGCAAGGACATTACCTCTGTTCTGAGAGCCCCAGCGTACCCCCTTGAGCTTCAGGGACAGCCGGATCCAGCGCCTCACCCAGGGCCTCCTGCTGGGACACCACCACCCACGGCCAGACACTTCCAGGAACGTGAGTTAGGAGACGGGAATCTTGAGTTCTGTGGGGAGGGAAGAACTAGCATCTCCCTAGAGATGAGATAAACTGTATTTGAAGAATAAGTCTTTTGGTTCAGTTTTTTGTCTTTTGGTGGAAACATTTCTCCGAGTTGAGATTTTATATCAGGTGAGAGGGAAAAAGACTTACAGCTTCCTCGGTTTCTAACTTCTACTTAGAGGAAAAAGTTCTTCCTTGACTGTAACCGCAGTACTTCCTATTGTGTGGTAGCTCAGTTCAGTTCAATAAGAAACCTGTATTGAGCAGTTAACCCTGTACCAACTTGTGTACTGGGTTTGAGATCAAGAGAGGTCCCTGCCTGTCAGGTCCACAGAAGAGAGAAAATGAATGCTAAGGGACTAGAGGAGAGAGTTTCTTGTGGTGGTGGGGACAGAGGCTCTAGGAAGGAGAGGACACTTGCAGTGTACCCTTGGAGGGCAGTAAAAAGTAGATACAAGCCGGGCGCGGTGGCTCAAGCCTGTAATCCCAGCACTTTGGGAGGCCAAGATGGGCAGATCATGAGGTCAGGAGATTGAGACCATCCTGGCTAACACGGTGAAACCCCATCTCTACTAAAAAATACAAAAAACTAGCCGGGCGAGGTGGCGGGCGCCTGTAGTCCCAGCTACTCGGGAGGCTGAGGCAGGAGAAGGGCGTAAACCCGGGAGGCGGAGCTTGCAGTGAGCTGAGATCCGGCCACTGCACTCCAGCCTGGGCAACAGAGCGAGACTCCGCCTCAAAAAAAAAAAAGTAGATACAGGGCATGGTGGCTCACGCCTATAATCCCACTGCTTTGGGAGGCTGAGATGGGCTGATGACCTGAGGCCAGCAGTTTGAGACCAGCCTGGCCAACATGGTGGAACCCCGTTTCTACTAAAAACACACAAAAAATTAGCTGGGCATGGTGGCTCACAACTGTAATCCCAGCTACTCAGGAGGCTGAGGCAGGAGAATCACTTGAACCTAGGAGGCAGAGGCTGCAGTGAGTCAGGATTGTGTGGCTGCACTCCAGCCTGGGTGCAACAGAGCGAGACTCCGTCTCAAAAAAAAAAAAAAGTAGATACAGGGTGTGGTGGCTCACACCTATAATCCCAGTGCTTTGGGAGGCTGAGGTGGTGGGAAGATTGCTTGAGGCCAGGAGTTCAAGATCAGCTTGGGCAACATAGCAAGACCCTCTACAAGCAACTGAAAAAGTAGCCAGGCATGGTAGCATGAACCCATAGTCCCAGCTACTCAGGAGGCTGAGGCAGGAGGATCACTTGAAGCCAAGAGTTCCAGACCAGCCTGGGCAACGTAATGAGACTCCATCTCTACAAAAAATAAAAGATAATTAAAAAAAAAAAAAAAAAGGTAGATACATCTTCCTTGTTCAGGTTTCTCCCTGGAGGACCTGGGCTGGGCAGGAGTGGGGACTGCAGCATCTGATGAATCTTGTTTCTCAGACCCCCGCCAGCAACTGGCCACCAGCTCCTTCCTCCTCTTCTTGCTGACGGGGATTGTCTCCGTGGCCTTCCTGCTGCTCCCACTCCAGGACGAACTCAGCAGCCAGCTGCCTCAAGTCCTGCACGTCTCCCTGGGACAAAAGTTGGTGGCCGCCTACGTCTTGGGTGAGGACAATAGTGGCTGGGGACCCAGGACCCAGGAAAAAGGGAGAAGGGACGGGAGGAGCGCTAACAGAGTCCCAGGGCTGCCCATGCGACCCTGTTCTTTCTTTGTCCCCCCTCCAGGCCTCCTCACCATGGTGTTCCTCCGGACCTGAGCTCCCTGCTCAACCCCCAGCCCGCCCCACCTCACCCTCCCTGGGCAGGGTCTTAAGGCAGCCACTGTGATGCTCATACCTTGCCTTGCCTCCTACCCTCTTCTCTTTCCTGCCTACTCCCCCCTCCTCCCCCACAAAAAACACCCAGGGATTTGTACTCGTTTTCCAAGCTGAATAAAATACATTTTTAAAATGAAAATCAGAAATGTAAGGTACTTGCGCCTGTCTTCCCACTTCTTTTTTGGTACTCAGACATCCTCTAGTTCCTCCCACCCCTGTTCCCAGGGGACCTGGGCACTTGGGCAGTGATGAGGCCCAGCAAGGATTTAGAAGACTTGGGTCACTCCTGGTGCTTGCGTCGAAAAACTGTGACCATGAGCAAATCATTTAATTTCTCTGAGCTGCAGATTCTACCTACAAAATGAGGGCGTTGAGCAAGTTGATTCTCAAGATCCTCTTCAGCCCTGGAATAGGATCCTGTCCCTTAGCCAATGTACCTAACCTAAAAAGAAGTGAACGAAAATACCACCTAATCCTGTCTGCCACGGAACTCCTGTCCCACCATCTGGAGGCAACAAAGCCTCTCTCCAGGGTTACCTGGGTGTTTACAACCCCTAGAATCCTTTTCTGCCTTTTGGACCCTATATCTGTTTTCCTTTGTCCTTTAAGACTTCAGCGCCCTTGGACGGGCGCAGTGGCTCAAGCTTGTAATCCCAGCACTTTGCAGGGCCGAGGCGGGTGGATCACTTGAGGCCAGGAGTTCGAGACCAGCCTAGCCAACATGGTGAAATCTTGTCTCTAAAAATACAAAAATTAGCCGGACATGGTGGTGGGTGCCTGTAATCCCAGCTACTCAGGAGACTGAGGTAAGATAATCGTTTGAATCTGAGAGGTGGAGGCTGTAGTGAGCCGAGATTGTGCCATTGCGCTCCAGCCTGGGCAACAGAGCCAGACTCCGTCTCAAAAAAAAAAAAAAAAAAGAAGACTTCAACTCACATGGATGACAAACACCAAAGTCCCTACCAATATGGGAGAAATAGTATTGCCTGACATAACCTCACCTTAACCAGGCAAAAAAACCCAAAAACAAAAACAAAAAAACAAACAAACAAAACTAGGGTACAGGAAAATAATAAGATTTACAAAAGGCAGGCTTCCAGCTCACCTGCCTTCCTTCAGGTGCAAGGTGAGGAGGAACAGAGGAAGAAGGAGAGTGGCCAGGCTCAGTGGTTCACATCTGTAATCCCAGTGCTTTTGAGAGGCCAAGGTGGGAGGATTGCCTGAGCCCAGGGGTTCAAGACCAGTCTGGACAACATAGCAAGACCCCGTTTCTACAAAAAAAATAAAAAGAAGGAGGGGAGAACCAGTGACTCTGGGCAGATGGTTGACTGGGAACGAAGATCAGCAAGATAATATTATTAAGACCCAGGCTGTCAGAGCACTGGAAGGTGATCAGTTGTTCCAGCTTTAGTTTAGGGGCACTGGGACCTGCTCCACTACCCTGGGAGTCTTCTACCTCTCACACCCAGAGCTGGTTGCAGTGGGGTGTGGCCCTGATACTGCATGGAGAATGGGTGTGCCATTTGTGTCCAGGAGTCGGGACAGCTCTTGCCATAGCCCAGAAAACCTCTTTGCTAAATTACATGTGTATGGAAGATATCCATTCACAACAGCCTGGATGTGCCCAGGTCCCCAAAACACATTTGAGGTGCCACATAGGTTAATGGTCCTGTGAGTACTTGTGAAAAGACCTAGGCCGGGCGCGGTGGCTCAAGCCTGTAATCCCAGCACTTTGGGAGGCCGAGACGGGCGGATCACTAGGTCAGGAGATCGAGACCATCCTGGGAGGCCGAGACGGGCGGATCACTAGGTCAGGAGATCGAGACCATCCTGGCTAACACGGTGAAACCCCATCTCTACTAAAAAATACAAAAAACTAGCCGGGCGAGGTGGCAGGCGCCTGTAGTCCCAGCTACTCGGGAAGCTGAGGCAGGAGAATGGCGTAAACCTGGGAGGCGGAGCTTGCAGTGAGCTGAGATCCGGCCACTGCACCCCAGCCTGGGCGACAGAGCCAGACTCCATCTCAAAAAAAAAAAAAAAAAAAAAAAAGAAAAGACCTTGTTACTGGTGTGGTCAAGAAGGCTTTCTGAGGGACTGGGGGCAGGGGCTCCCGCCTGTAATCCCAGTGCTTTGAGAGGCCAGAGCAGGAGAAGAGCTTGAGGCCAGAAGTTCAACACTAGCCTGGACAATATAGCAAGATCCCATCTCTAAAAAAATTTTTTTTTTTTTTGAGACAAAGTCTTGCTCTGTCACGCAGGCTGGAGTGCAGTGGTGCAATCTCGGCTCACTGCAACCTCTACCTCCTGGGTTCAAAGCAATTCTCCTGTCTCAGCCTCCCTGGTAGCTAGGAATACAGATGTGCACCACCACCTTTGACTTATTTTTGTATAATTAGTAGAGAGGGTTTCACCATGTTGGCCAGACTGATCTCAAACTCCTGACCTCAGGCCCGCCTCGGCCTCCCAAAGTGCTAGGATTACAGGCATGAGCAACCGTGCCTGGCAATTTTTTTTTTTTTTTTTTTAATTAGCCGGGCATGGTGGCTCACACTTGCAGTTGCAGTTATTCAGGAGGCTGAGATGGGAGGATCTCTTGAACCCAGGTGTTTGAGGCTGCAATAAGCTATGATTACAGCACTGCACTCCAGCCTGGACCACATAGCGAGACTCTATCTCTACAAAACAAAAACTTAGCTGGGCATGGTAACTCACATCTGCAGTCCCAGCTACTCTGGAGGCTGAATGCAAATTAAATATTTCCCATAAGTAAGGAAGCAAACAAACAAAAAATCCTTAATTCACCCATCTCAAGATCACATCTGCAATGTCCGTTTTTGGGACTTCATTCACAGGTTTCAGGGATTAGGACGTGGACATTTTTGTCCAGATCATTATTCTGTCTACCACGGGAAGCAATGGACAAAGTGAAGAAGCGCTGAGAAAGTGCTTTGGGACACTTGTCTGGACTGTATGTCAGGGAAGCAAATAGCTCAGGAGGTCTCTGATCCTAATTCAGGGTTCTGAGAACCTAAGAAGTCAAGCTTAGGGGGCTAAGGAGGGGACGGTTGCATCCTGAAACCCAGAGCCCTGTGGCATCCCAAGCCTTAGACCAAGAGGCGTTTACTTCCCAGTGTCTTGAAGAGCTGTCAGGACCACAGCCTCCTGAAGCTGTGATTAAAGGTACACGGTGCCAGCACTTAGAATTTCCCGCCTCTGGTAGCTTACACTTCAATGTGTCCATCCTCAATGGACAAAGACTGGTCAATGGGGATCCTGACTAGGTACAGTGGCTCACACTTGTAATCCCAGCACTTTGGGAGGCCAAGGAGGGCAGATCACAAGGTCAGGAGTTCGAGGCCAGCCTGGCCAAGAAACCCCGTCTCTACTGAAAATAATTTTTTAAAAAATTAGCTGGGCATGGTGGCAGGTGCCTGTAATCCTAGCTACTAGGGAGGCTGAGGCAGGAGAATCGCTTGAACCTGGGGGTCAGAGGTGGTCATGAGCCGAGATCGCACCACTGTACTCTACCCTGGATGACAGTGCGAGACTCCGTCTAAAAGAAAAAGGGGGCGGGGAGATCCTGGAGGATGTTCCAGGGAGGGCCAGTCATCTAATGTGTGTAACCATTGTTGGAGTCTTACAGGGCCCCATGCTCATAAGGGGGTGCTATGCTTGGGGTTTAATGCTCTGAGATTGTTATGTTGAAATTTTTTCTTTTTCCTTTTTTTTTTTTTTTTTGAGACAGGGTTCCACTCTCCCACTCTGTCGCCCAGGCTGGAGTGCAGTGGCACGATCTCAGCTCACTGCAACCTCCGCCTCCCAAGCTCAAGCAATTCTCCCACCTCAGCACCCTAGAGTAGCTGGGACTACAGGTGCATGCCACCACACCTGGCTATTTTTTTTACTTTTTGTAGAGAGAAGTTTTTGCCATATTGCCCAGGCAGCTCCAGAACTCCTAGGCTCAAGCAATCTGCCTACCTTGGCTTCCCAAAGTACTGAGATTACAGGTATGAGCCACTGTGCCAGCCTTGAAATTCTTAATAATTTTTGTTTCCCTGAGACAGAGTCTTGCTGTGTCACCCAGGATGGAGTGCAGTGGCATGATCGCGGCTCACTGCAACCTCTGCCTCCCGGGTTCAAGAATGAATTTATGTTTTGAAAGTGTGTCCCCATGGCCAAGGGAGTGCAACATTAAATATCAAATAAGAGAATACCATGACAGGTTGAGAAATTGTAGAAAACAGAAACAAAAAAAAGCTTTGTTCCTTTTTTTTTTTTTTTGAGACAAGGTCTCATTCTGTCACCCAGATTGGAGTGCAGTGACTTGATCATAGCTCACTGCAGCCTGAAATTCCTGGGCTCAAATTATCCCTGCCTTGCCTCAGCCTCCTGAGTAGCTGGAACTACAGATACACACCACTATGCCCCGCTAAAGTTTTTTATTTTTTTGTAGAGACAGGTTCTCCCCTATGTTGTCCAGGCTGGTCTTGAACTCCTGGCTTCAAATGACCTTCCCGCCTCAGCCTCCCAAAGCACTGGGATTACAGACATGAGCCACCATGCCCAGCTTCTTTCTGCTTTTGAGCAAGGGGTCCTGCATTTTCATTTTGCAGCAGGTCTTGCAAATTATGTAACCATTCCTCATCCCAGGACAAGATACTGGCCGGGTGTGGTGGCTCCTGCCTGTAATCCCAGCACTTTGGGAGGTTGAGGCAGGCAGATCGCCCGAGCTCAGGAGTTCAAGACTACCCTGGGCTACATGGTGGAACCCCCGTCTCTACTAAAATTAAAAAAAAATTTAGCCAGGCGTGGTGGTGCGCACCTGTAGTCCCAGCTGCTCGGGAGGATCGCTTGAGCCCAGGAGGCGGATGTTGCAGTGGGCCGAGATTGTGCCACTGCACTCCAGCTCGGGTTACAGAGTGAGACTGTGTCTCAAAAACAAAAAACGATACTGAAGGCCCCTTCTCCAAAGACCACCATAAAGCAGGTGGTCTGCTTTATGGTGGTCTTTGGAGAAAGGGCCTTCAATATTTCCTTAGGCAGTTTCCTTAAGTGATAGAAACAGCTCAGTTTTCCCCATGGAGACAGCATTCCTGTGTGCACCCTTTCTGGTCCCTTCTGCCTAATCCTTTCCTAGGTC